AGTAGCCAGAGCCTCCAGAAGGGCCTGCGGCGCGCGTTGTCGCCGCTTGCAACGGCTGATTGAGAGCAGTTTGGACATGCCGATCGAGGATCAGCCAACACTCGACCGGCTTTTGGCAGCGCACCAGTATCACTTCGGTGATATTTCAGATTGGCCAAATGACATCTGTGAAATACTTCCTGGGGAGATGATGTCTTTGGAACCGCCTGAGATCTACTTTCTCGGGAGCTTGGCTGCCTGTCGCCATCTCCGGACTCACCAGGAAACTGTCCCACTTTCCTATCGCAAGGTGTCGGTTGTCTTGAGCTTTTGTCCGCGGGAGATGAAACGTATTCGTGGGCAGCCAGCGGTGGGCTGGAAAGCGTGGTTTGAAGATCTCCAGATTCGGTGGTTTACGTTCGACGTGGACGATCCCAGAACATACTTGGATGACACCAATACTTTTTTTCAAGAAGTGGGAAATGCCTGGTTGTCATCGTGGATGGACATGTGCTGCGCTCTTCTGAAGCACTTGAAGGCAACGACTCAGCGAGAAGAACGAGGCATCCTCTTTCATTGCTTCGGCGGGGTCAACCGCAGCTCAGCGGCATTGTGCGCGTGGTTGATCTTTCGTCGTCAGCTCTCCGCGGAAGCGGCTGTGCAGAGCTTGTTGACGGCCCGTCCCACGCTTCACCCCTGGAAGCATCGGCCGCATGTCTTCTGGGCGTTGCGTACTTGGGAGAAGAACCTAAATTCCTTTGTAAGACCTCGCATTTTTGCTGCAGTTCAAGAACTGTGAGCTAGCATGCCGGCGAGTCGACGTGACGAGCTGGACAGACTGTGACGATACACTGCTGCGAAAAGAGTCGAAAACAACGCTGCCTTGCGTTGCATAACGACTGACGGAGTTCGTTTCTCAAAAGAATTGACACTGACCAAGTTCGTTTCTGACATCGACACTTCTGATGTTTTGCGCTAGCCTCCGCCTTCAGTGTTGCAAATATATACTCACTGTTCGTGCGAGTTGACCGGAGCTCAGGTCCTGCCTGGAGCTCACTCTACATCTCTGCGTGAGAGAAAAAAAAGCGTGTCTCACCTCTTCTTGCTTTACATCCTGCTAACACTGCCCGCCGTGGTCGGGGTACGACCACTTGATAGCTTGATGGTCGTTTCGAGTGTGTTACGTTTTGAAGGTCGCATGCGGATCTGATGGCAAAATCCACAGCCTCCAAACATCTCTCTCCGCCTCCTTCTCTCTCTCTCTCTCTCGTCCCTCTCGCCCCTCTCATCCTTGTTCATCACATCATCAGACACTTTAACACACACCCACACACACACACACGCACGCCATCTCACCACACACACACACACACACCTCCTCCCTCCCCTCCTTCTCATCCTCGTCCATCACATCATCACTTATACTGCGCGTCTGAGCATAACCGCCTCATATGCCTTCTCTCCTCACACTTCCTTCTTGACTTTTCATCTCACTACTCCGTCTCCCAAGTGATGTTCATATACATTTGAAATTTGTAAAACTTATCATGTGGGGTTCTCCGGTCCTTTTATTGGAGCAAGGATGCTACTAGGAGCTCCTGGCCTTACTACTAGGAACAAGAAGCTACTAGTAGCAAAGGGCATCGCTACGAACGGAGCAAGGACGCTACTAGGCCTTTCTTTTTCCGTCGAAAGACATGGACATTGCGTGGAGGACATCGGTCGCCAAGAGTCGGAAGGCGAGGGTTTGCTTTTCCCGCAAAAGCTTTCTCCAATCCATTTGCTTCTATTCTATTGTTACTTGTAAAGCTTTCTCCAATCCATTTGAATCTCAATCACCAGGAAAACCGGCGTCCGGAGCTTTGATTGAGGAGTACTTCGCAATGAGCATGTGATGATGTCATGAGCATGTTGAACATGTCACTGTCACTTGAATCGGAACCTTCAAACGGCACTGTCACTTGAGCTTTAGGCCTGCAAAAGCTGCGTCCGTGCGACTTCCCAGATGATAAACTCACGAGTTCCATTCAGGGGAGTGTGCCCAGCCTGACAATGATAATAGAAGCGATGGCCTCCAATCTAATAGCGACGGCCTCCATCCTAGAAGCGATGGCCTCCATCGTAGAAGCAATGGCCTCCATCCTGGAAGCGGTGGCCTCCAATCTAAGAGCTTTAGCAACCTTTCGGTGTTATGTCATCAAAGACTCGGAGAGTGACACAAATCGGATTTCAAGGCAGATCCGAAGTTGAGTGCATCGAGGGTGACTCCTGCGCCGACCAAACCGGCTGTGACTGCGCCAGCCGTAACTGGTGACATGTTTTATGCTGGAATGGCAGAATGCCTCTTTTTGTCCTTCTTGCGAAAGGCTCTCAGACTGAATTCACTTCACGCGTGTGCTTTTATTCGCCAGTGCCTTTTTGCATGAAGTAGCAGTTGTTCTGTTTGAGAGTACCCAGCAGGCAAAGCGTCCTGGATCGCGCTTACCACAGCCCAAGGCTTGACTTTGTTGACGGTTACGTCAAAGGAGTGTACTTTCAGTGTTACTGCAAGAGTATATATTTGTAAATTATATTACATAATATGCAGTTTTGTTTTACTATTTCAATCGTTTACTTGGGAAAGAAGACAAGACAACACATATGCAGGGAGGGTGTTTGGGGTGAGATAACCGGCATCCTTTGACACAATCATTTTGGCCCATCTAAATGGGTCTGACTCGCATTTTGCCCTTGAAAGGTTTCCGAGCCGAAGGTAGCAGTGCTGACCTCATCTTCGCAGCTGGGAGTTTGGCACAGAAATGTCAAAAGGTTTTGCTAGGTTTTCTGGAACACATGTGTTTTGAGAGCCTCCTTTGTTTTCAACTTGTTTTCAGATGTGAAGGCAGCAGAGCGGCCAGACAAGGCCAAGGCACGCATGGTGCGTAGTTCTTCTCCACCGAGGAATGCTTTGGTCTTCAGCCAACCGGGTTGTTCAGTTGGCTTTGTGAAGGTGTAAGTATCAAGTTCCAGCAGCTCTTTTTTCCCTCAAGGTTTCGTGCAGATTGCAAGAGCTGGAAAGCAGATTCCACAGTTCCGGTGGGTTCCGGAGCGAACTAGTTTGCAAGTTCTGGGAAAGTTTTCTCTTCCAAGGAGCTTCCAGAAGGTTTTGGACTGGGTGGAAGGGTTCACCAGGTTTTCAGTGTTCCAGGGCGGAGGCACTCAACTAGCCATGCCTGGCATCCCTGTAGTTGTCAGGCGAAAGCCAAGGATTTTGATTGGCCGTTTTTGGTGCTTGCCTTGGTGTTGGCCGTGCAGTGTGTGATATGTTGTGACAGCATGGGTTGATCTTCATGTGGGCAATCCAAGTCACTTTGAGTCCACCCTGCTGAGGCAAAGATTGACAATCTGCTGCTTGGCTGTGAGAGCAACTTCTTCGTGAACCGCCAAGGCCTGGGAGTATGGACTTAACCGCCAGGCAGCCTGGCTGTCTCATCTTCTTGTGTTCTCCCATTCCACCTTTTCCTTTCTCCAACTGTCCCAGCAGTACACTTTCCTGTAGTCCTGCCTTCAAAGAAGAGCGTCTCCTCTCTTCAGAGAAAGAGGGAACCTGCTTCCAGTCATTTGGTTGTCCACTGGTGAACACGATCAAAGAGCCTCTGAGAAAAGTGTGCAGTGATTGCAAAACAGTTGCCCCTGCTGTCAAGATCAGCCCATGGAAGTCAGCATGTTGAGATGAACACAAGTAATTAGTTTGATACTGTCAACACAAGCCCTCCACACATAAGTCCGTCAGGGTTGAAAGACGCCCACCTGCATGAGCCCGTCAGCCAAAATCTAACTCATTTGTCAATTGCAATTCATTTGAAGGGCAAAACGCGCCGAATGCTTCAATCCCAAGATTCTTCCAGCTATGCTCTTCCGTTGCCTCGTTCCCGCAGAAGCAACTGCGTTGATAGTGGGAGAGGATGGCATCGCTCGACAGATAGAAGAATCCAGCACTTGTAGTGCCTCCATCTCTGTTTCAGATGAAGGTGATACTCCTGGGTTGAGTGATCGTATAATCACGATCAGGGGTGACCAGAAGCATGGAGAGGTTGCTTGCAAGATGATCATTGAGCGGCTTTACGCAGCCCAAGAGGTTGCAGCTGGTGACCAGGGCATTTTCGTTCTGTTGGCACCTGACACATTTCCAGAAAGTGAAGATTTGCTGCAAAAAGTCATGGATACTTCCGGTGCAGATGTCCATTTAGAACTTGATGCCGTCGCTGGCACGGATGATCGCGCCATTCAAATCGTCGGCGGCTTTGATTCTACAGTGGCAGCAGTTTTTCAGTTAGGAGCCTTGATGGCTTTAAACCATGGAGATGATGGATTAGACTGTGAAGACGAAGCTCAGCTTGAGGCAACCTACTTTCAGCAAGCGGTGGGATTTGAAAATGCTGATGACCGGCAAAGTGGCTCAACTCCGAAGGGTCCGAAGGGTGAGGAACGTCCAACGTCTCCGAAGGGCGAGGAAAAGATAGCCTTACCGGAAGCGGTGGATGCAGATGCGGTGGACGTGGTGAATGCAGAGGATGCGGAGCCAGAGGAAGCGGCCTTGCTGCTGGAGGCTGTTCCTTCAAAAGCACCACCAGACTCACCAGAAGTTTTAGAGACTGAGCCTTTAGAAGAAGGACAACCAGGAGAAGTTGGAGCAGTGGAAGGTGCCGAAGAAAGCCAAGAAATCGAGTTCTTGGACGGTGATGAAATTGAAGAAGTGAAAGCAGTTGCACCAGATGCCGGGCCTCGTAGAAAGCACATGTCAGTTCGCTTTGCTGTATCAGCCGGCGTGGCTGCTTGGGTTGTCGGCAAAAAGGGACAATCAATTACCAATTTGCGCAGTCGCAGCAAGGCCAAGATCGAGGTGTCAAATGACGGTTCTGCTTATAGAGCCATTGACATCAATGCAGATGAAGATGCAGTCATGTTGGCCATTGAGTTGTTGCTCGAACAGGTGTCAAAGTTGCCAGACGGATGCCCCGAATTTGTCAGGATTGTGTTGCCACCCAACAGTGCTGGATACATCATCGGCAAAGGCGGTGAGACCATTAAGGAGCTCCGTCGCGTCTCAGGAGCAGAGTTGGATCTCGACAAAGATATGGGGTCGGAAAAACTGCTCAAGATCCGTGGATCTCAGAAAGCCATGACTCATGCAGCTCAGTTAGTTGCACAACGTGTGGCTGAAGTGACTGGAGATAGGCAGGCTCGCTCCGAGTTTGAGAAGCTGCAAGCCTTGCTGACAGAGACCGACCACGTGGAAGTTAGTTTGACCATGTTGATTTCAGCAGATGCTGTCAACAAAGTCTCAAGGGCACGACTTTATGAAGTGGAGCGTTTGACCGGGTCTCACATTGAAGTCGATGGCCTTGGAGGTCGAACTTCAGGGTTGCAGCAGCTCCAGATTAGTGGCACTCGAAATGGAAATGCAATGGCCATTTTTCATTTGCAAGAGATTTTCGCGGAACATTTGCGAAGCACTGTGAAAGGTCCAGGCCAGGCCAGCCAGGTAGGCCCAGAGCGGAGGAATGCCCGCAGCAAGAGTGCTCCACGTTCCAATCGCCCCCAGAATCGTCCCTCTAGCCGAGGGCCTCAAGTTCGAGCAAGGGGGCGAGGTGTGAGTCGCCAATGAGCCGTCAATGTCAAGAAAAAAGCCGAGCGGCCGGATGCGGCCGGATGCGGCCTTTGAAGACTGAGAGGTACTATGAACAAGATTCCTGAAGTACCATGAAGTACCCTTTGCCTTGTCTTGTAGAGATTCCTGATGGTCCCTTCATCTCCATCTTCAGGCGATGGCAGCCGCATCCCAGGCAGAGAGCCTGAACCCTGTGAAAGCAGCGGCCACTTGGTCCCAAAATCGGCTGTCGCTTGGGCGTTTCGGGTGACTCTGGAAGACGCGTATGGTAGACCTGCCTCCCGTAACAGTTGGGCTGCACTTACCTTCATGGGTGAAGGTAGAGAGCTGTAGATCAAGTGTCGTCTTCGTGATACAGAAGGCTCATTTGCGATCAGAAATCCGAGGCTCAGAAGATGAGGAGGTGCGTTGGACTTGAAGTCAGCCGTGCATTTGGAATTAAAAGGTTACTCAAAAAGTCGGTGGTGCCCGGTTCGGCTTTCAGGAGACTTTCAAACGCGTTGGCTTTGGGAACTGGACATGTGCGGTTTCAGGATGATATGGAAAGTGAAGAGTCAGAACAGGACCGCTTTGGAATCATAATTGACAAACTCCTAGGGGTGAAGACAATTCTGCTGCCATTTCAATCACTAAAAGGTGAGCAAGCCAAAACATACTGTGATGAGTCATTGGGACGTAGAATTCAATGCTATCGTTAGCTTGGTTCACTTTGAATTCAATGACGCAGCTATAGTAGCCAGGCTCTTCAATCATGAGATCAGCATTTGAAAGTTTGCGCTTACTTCCAGGTAGGCCCTTGCACGCTTCTTGAGGAGTCTGATGCGGTGGTAGACACTGCAAAGATACTGAATGCAGCAGGAGATATGGGATATTGTATGCAAGCAAAGCCAAAGATATGCTAAGAACAAAAGGTGCTTCTGTTGTGAAATGATGGGATTATAGATGACCAGTTGAGGAAAGGTGAAAAGGTTCCACCGGAATTCTTAGAAGGACCGGAGGAGGCTGGAGCGGAGGAAGATGACTTTGAAGACGAGGAAGAGGAGGAGCAGAGTGGAGCGGAGTGAGAGTTCACGAACTGTACAGAGCCATGAATGGGCCATGAAGTCAAGGGTCGGCCTTCCAACCTCTGCGGAATTCAGAGCTTTTGGTGAACCGGTGAACAAGATTTGGTGAGTTGGACGAGGTAGGGACTTTTCAGAGTAGTACTGTAGTACTGTATGTTGTCTTATAACAAGTGTCCTATACTGTAAGCACAATTGCTCCTATACGCTACTTCACTTTGATGCACGGACACATCACTTGATCGAAGGCTTTAGGGCTTTTGTGGTTTGCCGTGAATATTTTTGCATTTTTTCCCCTCAAGCACATTGGTGGAGGCAGTTCGCAAGCATGCTGGGCTAGCCTTTTTGTTCTTGAACGCTGATGCTCTCCCAGCAGGAAGAGGAAGAGATAGAGGAAGAAGTGGATCAAGTTGTCGGGAGCATAGGTCATCAGTGCCCTTAGAGCTTCGCTCTGTCCAGGTTACGATGCCACTCTGTAGGATGTGTGTGCTCCTAAGGGGAAGGAAGACGCAGAAAGCACCACTGCAGCTGTGGCGACGACGAGGTCGATCTTTTTGCTTCATGCTTGAAATAAGTGGCCTTGAAATAAGATTTTGATCTTGCGGCCTTGTGATTTGCTGTTTATTGAATGGTCCCACGAGATAGCAGTGTAGCGATCTGCAGGCCAAAGGCAAAGGCAGCAAGAACCTAAGTCTTTTTGGAGTGATAGACCGAAGGGTGCAAGCTGCAGCTGCGTTTCCAGAAGGGTTGGAAGCTCTCAGATTAAGGCACCTCCAGAGCTGGCCTCGCAACCTGTCAAGGTGAGCGGGGTGGGACAGGATTTCTGCTCTTAAGCAGAAGGTACTTCGGGTCTTCTTTTTTTGTTTTAAGCCCGCGGGGGGGGGTTGTCCGCGATAGTAGTAGCTAGCTAGCTAGGTGTAGCTAGTAGCTAATTACTAACTACTGAACGCAGGATAGCTCGCGCTTCTTCAAGGAAACTTGCCCGCTTCCTTGAAGAAGCGCTCGCACTAATGATTTGGTTCCTAGATTTTGGGGGAAACTTAACTCAATTACAGTAGGTCAAAAGAGACCAACATTTGCATCTCACATCCTCGCTAGGCCACAAGACCCAAACCAGCGCCCGCCCCACCGCTACACGCGCGCCCGCAGCGAGAGGCTTGCAATTATGATGCCAGAGTGTTCTAGACAATCAAAGTTGCAACGCACATGCTGCGTCTACCTGCAGGTGAAGGCACAGGTAGCTGAGGTGGAGGCACGATCACTTGAAAGCACCACAAGAGCGTTCTTGCTTCAAAGCGTTCAAGCTGTTTTATTTGGAGAGCACAACCTGCAAGCCAGGACAGCCGCGAAGCACGAGCTCATCCTTCACCCCCGCAGGACCTACTTAGAAAGAACTTTTTGACCGTTTCGCGCTTTCTTAATTCGTTTCGACCTGTTGATTCAAACGCACGCCTGTTTGCTTGTTCTCTTAAGCAGAGTTATGGTGTGCACCAAAAGTTCAGCACCAGTCATTACACTCCACAATGTTCAACATTGAGCGTTCTCGGGATTTGTGTTTGTCGGGAATCCCTTTCGCAGCTTTGACAGGAAGGCGCCCCCGAGGAGGCTTGTGTTGCGCAAGATGTTGAGTGCTTGTCAAAAGTAGCTTTTTAACTGACGGTACCCTTGTCCACCTGTGATTCTCTCGTGGGCTTGTCCACCTTCATTTCGTTTTTGCTTTCGCGTTTACATGCGCAGAAGCTTAGGAGGCAACTGTTGATGCCAGGAAGAGGATTTCAATGATGAGGAAATAATGGCAACCTTTGCTGCCAAACTGCAGGAAGGGAGAGCACTATAATAACGTATGTATACTCACTAAATATAGGTGCCCTGCACAGCTCTCCAGCGATGAATTCCTTTTGCTTTGTTGGAGGAGCCACTGACACAAGAGCCCCGTCCGGAAGGTGATTACACAACTTTCCGTGCTTACTTTCGAGACGTTGTTCAAATTGAAATTGATGGCAGGCAGTCCCACGGCAGAGGTTTGGCTGCTTCATGTTTTGAAGTGCTACTTCACTGTCCTGAACACCTAATAGCGATGGCCTCCAACCTGATGCTACTTCATTGTCCTGAACATGTGGACTCAAGCTTATTGCTGTATTTGCACTTCATTCCAGGATGAGCGGGGCCCAGCAAACATCGCAACGCGAGCCAAGGCAGCTTTGGGGAATGGGTCGCCCCTCCACCTGAGTTCTTTCAAAAAAGGGAAAGACTCGTTTCATCATGGAGTTCCCCCTTCAGTGTTCGCACCAGAGGAGGATCGCTACAGATACTTGCCAACAAAGTCAGGATTTTGAATTTTACAGAGTCCACAAGGTTCTAAGCGCTAATAATACTATATGTTTTGCAACATCAGAGAAGGGAGAGAACCTGTGAGGCAAAGCCCAAGCCAAAGGCATGGGGTGCCCCACCACCCTTGGCAACGAAGAAAAAGGACGCTGCTTGGCTATAACCCAGGAGAACATAAACATACCATTTCAACAGGAATGCGCAATAGTCACACAAAGATGTTGAAACGCCTTTGCATTCTTTGCTTAGCGTTTTGGGGGGTTGACCATTATCACCTCCCAGCTTTCTCCGAAGCTGAGGTGGATCGACCACCGGATGCAGAGGCGGACGATGCGAAGGCTGAGGAGACATGCAGTGTTCGTGGGAGTTTGGGAAGGCAAGGAAGATCATTCCACCATTGCCACAGAGATCACGACACACCACCAATATGTATAAAGTATGTAATATGTGTAATATGTAATATAATATGTATTCTATATAATATACTTGTTTGCAATATGTAATATGGAATATGTAATGTATGTAATATAATGTATGTAATGTAATATATGTACATGGTACCCCGGACTCCGAACTCTGGACCTATGTTTCCTTCAAAATCACTGCTATTTATTTGCAGTCTTTCAGGCACATTTCAAGGTGCCATTTTGCGAATCATTTTGGTCCAAGGAGAAGCGAGCCATAGTAGCTGGCTATGATTTCAAGCTCAGCAGTCCTCGACATCAATTAATTTCAAAAAAGAACATTAATTCCTGACGTGAGGAAATGTCAATGGAAAACATGTTACATCATTAATACAAACGCATTTGACCATCGCAAAACTTTGGGAGGCTCTAAACAAAGTCGTTCTCAATGGCCGATCTTCACACAACCTTGACAGGCTCTTGAAATATGAAGAGTTCAGCATCTATGGGGACCTTCTAGGTCACATGTATATTTTTTGAGTCTGTGCAGGAATCCTGTACCTTCCTGCATTGACCTTCGCAAAGCCTTGACATGCCCAAACAAGTCTAGCATTTGAGGTACTGAAGATACAGAAAGGTTGTAAGACTCTTGTCTTCTTTAGAGCTTTTTTGTGGTCGACCTTTTTGAGTCGGGGCTTTGACACCTTTTTTTATGCCTGTGCTGTGGAACTTTTGATGTCTTCTTACTTGAGCCTGAGTTTTGGTGAAGTCTGAAGCCAATAGAAACCCCAAATATGAGGTCCTTAAGAGGTCAACAGAGATGCTGCGAGTTGAGATTTTTGCACCTACATTGTAGGTTTCCCTTTAAAATCGTCCCAAGACGGGTTATTTTTAAATGTGTATTCAGCTCAAATGTGAACACCAATGAAGTTTTCAATCGTAAGCATGATTTTGGGGTTTGGTCTCACGTCATGTCTGCATTTGCTCCTGACGCAGGAGCCGGAGAAGGAGCAGCCACCACCGCCGTTCTTTGTGGCCCTGACTTGGATTGATGGCGGCCGTATGTCGTATGTGCTTTGACTTCCACTGCTGCCAGGATCAATGGCTTGCCAGTCTCAAGTTCATTGCTGGCTGGAACGATCAGAAGAAATACAAAGCTGCACAGGCAACCCTTAGACTAGACAGACTTAATTAGTCCTCAAGAACCTTCTGAGCACATTGCTCTCACTTGTGCAAGTGGACCGTTGCAAAACCAGGTCAAGGACGCTTTCAGCCAATATCTTGCCACTGAGGCTGGAACACGTTCAGTAGAATTGCCTTCCCTGACAAGAAAGACAACTTTCTCATGTTCAGGATATTGTCAGCAAAGACACAGTGGAACAGCTTTGCAGAACAATTGTCTGGTGCTTGTTTTCGGCGCTTCAGCTGTGCACTGGTAGTCCAGCAAGGAACTGCTCAGCGCCAGAAATCAATCTTTTGCTTTGCTGAATGAGGTTCCCTTGCTGCTTGACCTTGAAAGAGTCGACTCAATGGTGGTCGCAAATCTGAAGAAAGAGGCTTTTGAAGTCAACGGCTGATTCTTTGTTTGGTTTGACGGTTCGACCAGCATTAAACCTCTAACCGTTAACTGACCTTGATCATCATTGGAGTGTGCCAGGTCTTGCGCACCTTGAAGATCGTCCAGGCAGGTCTGGATCATTATTGTTTGTAACTCCTGTTTGATAGGTAGAGCAGTCTTGAATTACCCTTGTGGCAGCATGAGGTTTGCATCTTGCGGATTGTCACCTTCGAGCTGTTGAGAGAACACTCTGCAAAGGCGAGGGGCGAAGAGTAGAGAATGGTCCACAGAGAATGGCTTCTGTGCAGTCAAGAACATTGGCAGGCTGCAAAGAAGACAAAGGGCAAGAAGCAGGCAGGACGCTACTATTGGCTCCTGGCCTTACTACGAATGGAGCGATCGGACGCTCCGAACGGGGCCGCCTGGGCGCCATGCATTGAGATCACGACTGGGCGGCGACTGGCGCTTGACCACGGCATGTGGCTTGAACTTGCGAGGCGGCTGCTGAAGTCCCACCGGAAGGAGCCACCTATTTGGCCAGTGATATTACATCTCTGGCCAAGGCTGGTCTAAAAAGTTTGGCCACTTGACTTGAGTCCACCGCTTCAACCAGGTGATTCAGCACTTTCGGTTTGATCAGAATTTCACCAAAGGTGTGTCTTGAGCTCAGAAAAAAAGTTGAGACAGACATTTGGATGTGTAGCGTTCTTGCTCCTAGTAGTAATGCCCTTTGTTCCTAGTAGCTTCTTGCTCCTAGTAGTACGGCCAGGAGCCCCTAGTAGCGTCCTTGCTCCTACATTTGGATGTGGAAATCTTGACGGAACTAGTGCAGATCGAGCAGATTTTGGCTTAGTCTCAAGCGGCGAGGCACCAGCTCATCGTCTCCTTCCGACGACAAAAGCCGGAAAAGCCACCTGAAAAGGTGGAAAATAAGCCAGAAAAGGAAAAGCCAAAGGAGAAAGGCAGGGTGTGACAGGGTGACCTCGATGCAGTTGCCCTTGTTTTGACGACTTTCTCAAGACAAAAGGCTGCACACATGTGGAGAAGTCGATTGTCAATGGAGAAGTGGTCACCATTTGCTCCCACAAGTTTCGGCAGAGCAATGCATTCCTGTGTTTGGTGTTGCTAGATTTTGTTTTTCGTTCAGACATGATTGATGATGTACAGGCTCGTAATGTATAAGGGCTGGCCTCTTTGCTGGTTTGCAAAGAGGCAGTCAAAACGCTGTTGCAACAAACGAAGAGTACAGTAACTACTAACGTAAGTGTCCTAAAGCATGCACAGATGTCCTCTCTGCACAGTGTTGTCGGCGGCAACATGCGGTAGGTTCGTCCATAATTCGCAGAGATTCATGCCAGTTCAATGGATTGTGGTGCACTTTCCAAAGAGCCTTGATTTCTGAACATTCGCGAACAGTCGGGACTGGCCAGGAGCTTCGCGGAAGCGACCAGCCACACAGGTGGAGCCGGCAGAGGGGGAACCAGCGGAAGAAGAGGCACCAGACACAGCGGCAGCTGCAGTCGCTGCAGCTGCAGCAGCTGCAGCAGCAGCAGCAGCAGCTGCTGCGTCCCAGGAGGTGGAAGGACAGGCTGCTCCAGCCACTGCAGCCACAGCCGCCGCAGCCGCAGCCGCTCCAGCACCGACCGAAGAGACACCGGCTGCCCCCGTGGCGCCGCCGGCAGACACGCAGGTTGAGGTGCAGGAGTCGCAGGATGCGCAGGTGGGACACAGAGCATTACATATCTATAAGCTACTAGTAACAAGGGCATCGCTATTAGTAACAAGTGCATCGCTACTAGTAGCTAGAAGTTACTTTCTGTGTTCTTCAGAAAGACTTTGAAAGTTGGCTGGGATGGACGAGTCACCACCTCCGGGCACGCAGGATGAGGCTGAAGAGGAGGCTGAAGATAAGCCTTCATCCCAGATAAAGCAGAATGCCGTGCCCTGACAGTTTATTCATCAAGCTGCCGAGCTGCCGAAGCTGCTGCGGCTCAACACAGAAGGAATCCCGCAACAACCCTTTCCGCATTTTGTGCTACAAACTTCAGTAGTATGTGAAGGCCATCGTTATTAGGTTATTAGGTTGGAGGCATCAAGTCTTTTTCCTCCACTTGAGGCAGTGAAACCATGTATATAAAGCCAACAAAGGAACACAACTCACAACTCTGTTTGTTTGTCAAAGAAGCTCACACTGCCCTTTGGACCTCTCAATGCCACATCCTTTGGAGGTTTGCCACAGAACAGGACAACTTGCTCTCAACGTGAAGCTGTTTACAGAACTACATGTGCATCTCTTACAAAAGCAGTTGTGTAACGACAAGAAGAGGTTTAGTTTAGGTAAACTCCTTACTCGTCCCACTGCGCGCTTTTTTGGCACTCCATAGAACTGCTTGAGTTGTTGAACTTCATGGAATGGACTGTCGGGCCCTGCAAGAGGCGTGGTATGCATGGCATGTGTTGTGCGGTTGAAACGCGTCCTGCCATGCCATGGGTGTCGTGGCATGTCAGGGACTACCAACATGGGTTGAACAGGTATGTTATGTGGCTGTGAGTCAATACCTCCCACACCAAACCATGGCAGGTTGATCTCGCTTATAGAAGATTATAGAAGAATCTGTTTATTTTTTGGGTTCAACCACAGGATGTCGGACCCAAAGCCATGTGTCTATCCCTTGTCCCATCAACCACAGACTGCTTTGAGAACATGGCCAAAAGGCCGAAGGGGAAGAAGGAGTGGAGAGGAAGCAAAGGGGGAAAGAAAAGGTCTATTTAGAGGAAGAAAGAAAAACAACAACAAACAACGTTATAAGAATAGATGAATCTTGTGATGTCTGGTGGGTTTCTGACATGTCGTCTGCGTCTGTCGGGCATCGCCTCAGGCCTTCAGGTTGCAACTGCAGCAGCCGCCCTTGCGGCTGGATGCGCTAGAAACCTTTGACGTCTTTTGTCCGCCACGTGGCAAAATTTTGAGAGACTATGAGTTTATGCGACGGGACCTATAAGTCAGGGATACTTGAACCTATCAAGTCAGTCGATCGAGCTTTACAGCCAATGATTAGTTACACTGCGACCAGTGGTGTGAGGTAATTCGGCCCTGAGGCTAGTGGAGGCCCATCCCGATGTCAAGCCCGCGATCACGGCGCGAGGAGACCTTTGTGGCTTGATTCAATGAGTCTTGCTTCATGAAGTAGTAGCGGACACAGAAACAGAAACGATATGAAACAACAGAAACAAGGCTAGGAGCATTTGACGGGTTCGCATTCGTCGGGTTTGGAGCCATTTTGGATCAGAGGATCATGACTTTTCATTCGGTGACTTTAAGCCGAAAAACCACAAACCTGCAAGCCACAAGAGAACAAGCAAGAACCATGAGGAGAGCACAGTGAGCATAGTGACAATAGCGAACAGTGAAGCACAACTTGAAGTTGTAAGCTGTCCGACCCCTTTGGACTCATGCCCTCACCTTCGCGCTTGGAAGAAGAGGCAGATGTGGTCATAGGACAGCTCTCACAAGAAGCTGCCTCCCTGGAGATTGCGAGCAAAGTCGCTGGGAAAGGCTTTTGTGTTGTTGCTCCCGGCTTCGAGGACCACGTGTTGCGGCAAGCTTTAGAGGAGACAGCGGCGTTTGGAAAAACCCATCGCTGGCAACAGGCCAATAGTGTCATCCAAGATGGCCTTCTTGGAAGTGAAGGTTCTGCCTTCATTGCTGAACTCGAGTCTCCCGAGAAGGACCGTGTGAGTCGTGAGGATGGAGAGATGCTCATGGAGCTGGACACAGCAATGACCCATTTGGGCTTCCACATTCAGCCATATCTTGGTAGCTTTGGAGTGGAGGTGACCCATAGAGGTAAAGCTTTAGTCCATCAGGCAGGAGAACCGGGCGAGGAGCGAGTTCCGCTGACAGACAAGGAGGTTCTCAGATGGCTGTCTCAATTCCTCCGGCACAAAGTTATGATCATTATTTTCCTGGGTCCTAGCAGCGGCAGCTTAGAGATGAAACCCTACAACACAGATGACGCAGAGACCTTTGAGATCTCAACCTACCCTGGAACATTGGTAGTTTTGCGTCCCGACATCCTTTCTCACAAGCATTTCTCCAATGGCCGGTCCTTGGCATTGAGCACCTTCTTCTTGCAGGGCGATCGAAAGCCCAAACGAACCAAGAGGTCAGACAAGATGGTTCCAGCCGCCAAGGAGTTGGATGATTGGACGGTGAACCGACTTCGGGAGCTCAAGGAGAAGAATCTGAACTCGCAGTTTTGGGATCCAGACATTCCACGTGAGTGGCAGAGTGCGATGAATCACATGTTTCACAAGGGTCAGATGATAGCAGTAAAGGGTGAGGCGTGCAAAGTCCCAGCCACCGAGTCGCCAGATGCCTTTTGCATGGCCACTGCTTTTGCTCCAGATTACCCACAAGAAGTGCCACGGATCAGGTGGGATCATGAGGAGGTCTATGACCCAAATCCTGAGAGCCATCACTATTTCAAATCCTATTGCAAGCATGGCAGCTTCATGGATGGCATTGAGCTCTTTGATTGCAAGATGTTTAGCATGTCTCCGAATGAGGCCAAGTCCATGGACCCACACCAAAGACTAATTCTGGAAGTGGGCTATGAAGCTCTCTACAACATGGGCATGCGTAAAAACACTTTGGTGAATACAACCTGTGGTGTCTACGTTGGCTGTGGCAATGTGGAATGGTCTATGATGCCTCGTGAAGCAGATCAGGGTGCCTTTGCAGCAACCGGTGGCGCTCTTTCCATCAGCTCTGGGCGCTTCTCCTTCACATTGGGCTTGAAAGGACCCAGTATGACCATTGATACTGACGCTTCTTCGGGTGCCACATGCGTCTACCTTGGTGCAGAAGCTGTTCAACGCAAGGGTCGTGCTACTCCAAACGAGTTCTCAGTTGCCATTGCAGCACATCTTCTATTGGCTGCGGTTTGGTGGCCCACACACTGTGCATCTGGGTGGCTTTGTGCCACTGGCCGATGCTTGACCTTTGATGCATCAGCCAGCGGCTATGTGCGGGGTGACGGTGTCGCTGCCGTGACACTGAAGGCATCGAGTCAGCTCGTTGATGGAAAGTATGTTACCAGTGAGGAAGAGCCGCTCGGGTCCATTGCTGGTGCCATGATGAACAACAACGGCAAAGGTGCCAGCCTTTCTGCTCCACATGGTCCTGCTGAGCAAGAGGTTGTTGCAGAAGCCCTCCAGAATGCCAGCATCGTTCCAGCAGACGTGGACGCAGTGGAGGCTTATGGGGCAGGTGCGCTACGCTACGAAAATTCTCAGAGGGTACTTTGGGTACATTTGACATGATGCATCATGATGCCATCACCCCACCAAACCATAGTCTTAATAGACACATCATGAATCATGACGCATGACCCCGTCAGGTGCCTTCTTGCCAGATGCCATCGAGGTAGGGTCCATGGTGCGAGCTCACCGCAGCGAAGATGCAAAGGAGCCACCTTTGTTGGTCACATCAGTGAAGAGTTCCATTGGAAATCAAATTGAAACTTCGGGCATCATTTCCTTCATGCGAGTGATCAGTGCCATCCGATTCGGATATGCTACGCCCAACCTGCACTTGCGGCAGGCGAACCCGCACTGTGATCTTGAAGACACACCCATCAACATAGCCACTGAGCTCATGGAGTACCAGAAGCAAAGTGCTTTTGTAGGAGTCATGTCACGTGGCTTCGGTGGCTCGAATATTTACACCATTGCCTGGGGAGCCATGCGTGACAAGAATGCCCAGCAGGTTGTTATCTCTGCCAGAGATAGCATCATGTACTGGCCAGGCGGTGGTGGAGCCTTAGCCAACGACTTGCTGCCCACTCACTCTTATATGATTGTTGGATCTTGGTCTCAATGGCAGCAAGCAGACGCTATGGAACCTGAAGGTGATGGCACTTACACGTACATTGTGATGCTCGGTGAGACGAGGTTTGAACAATTTCAGATTTGGCTTGATGGGGACGCAGCTCGAGTTTTGCACCCAGGTCATTCCAAGGGCTTCAAAGACACGACAGTCTTTGGACCTGACGCCATGGGCCACGGTTGCAATTGGGTCATTGATGGTCGACAAGAGCTTCCAGCTGTGAAAGTGCCCAAGGAGCTTGGCAATGAGAGCTTGTTGCCAAAGGCACTCAAAGGCGAAGATACTTCAGATGGAGAGAAGCCTAAATGCCCCTCCGCGGACTATGGCATGCCTGGCGACTCTTACAGAGTAACTCTTCGTGTCACTGGCAGATGGCGCAATGTGACCTGGGAAAAGCTACCTCAGGGGCACCCACAGGCTAGATTGTCTGACCAATTGACGCGGGAGAGAGTGAGCCAGTTCTACATTGCAGGCCAGGATGGGCAAAGCATTTTAACCACCAGCAAGCTCCAGCCAGGATTTACATATAGATACTGTAGACCTTACATTTATGCCCCATGTTGCTTCTGTTTTAGCATGTTCATGGCCCAGCGTATTTAGAAAAAATGTTGACGGGATACTGTGCACATTGCTTCACTTCCTTACCCTGTTGCAGGTTCCTGGAATGATTGGAATCTATCAGAGATGACACCAGCAGAGACTCCTGGCGTGTATAGTACCACGGCGGTGCTTTGGCGAGATGGGGGTGAGTTCCAGATCCTCCGCAATCGTGACTGGTCACAGGTCATTCATCCAAAGACACCCAAAGCCAAGATGATAGAGCCAGTCGCAGGCCCTGATGACCAGGGTCATGGCATGAATTGGTTCTTGCACGGACAGGCTGGCGATGCTTTTCGAATAGAGCTGACTCGGAAAGGAGAGTTTGGCATGTTTGAGTATGGCTTGAAGTGGGAAAGGCTTCTTGATGAGAGGCCGAGTCAGACATCCATGCATCAGAAATTCTGTATCGTCGGATCCTGGGACAACTGGGAGACGCCGAAGGAAATGGAGTTTGACGGCACCTGCTACAAGTACACCATCACCCTCGGCTTGAGGAATGAGGAAAGTTTCCAGATTCTTTTGGATGGACTTTGGGAGAGAACCCTCCATCCAGACCGGGCAAACGCCACACCTTTCGTGACTCATGTGCTGCAAGGGCCCAATATCAGTGCGCACGGCTTGAATTGGACCGTTGGACGGGATGGCGGCCTCGCCGGGGCCAGCTATGAGATCCGGCTGCACCTCACGAAGCGTGGACACCCCAAGAATGTCGATTGGATCAAGCTACCAAGAAATGAGTGAGACTGGTAGAAGAATCTTCCTGACAGGTTTCTGTTTATGCCATGAATTTCCGCGTTTTCAGTCGAAAAAGGCAGGCGATTCATCTTTTCGGTGCAGATGCGGGCATGACACCGAAAGCAAAATGCTTTGATCAGACTGCTTTGATCAAGGCATGGTGGCACTCCGCCCACTGCCTGCTGGCACATTGCTGCTTCGGGAGGCTCCGAAACGAACGCTTCTGGAGTTGCTGGATGTTCCTCGGAAAGTCACTTCAATGAAAAGGTGGGTATGACATAGTATGACAAACTTTGCCTGTTTGAGATTGTTTTGGAGAGGTCGGACTCATATTTGGCTTTTCAGAAAGCAGTGGCTTGATAAGTCTCCTTGAAGCCAATCTGTGTAGGTCCAGGTCCTGTGTAGGTCCTGCTTGCAGAGTTTTCCTTCTTTTTTAGCTCTTAGCTTGAGCCTGACCATCTGGGTTCATCTGGGCTCATTTGGGTTCCTTGGATATTGTTTCTTTGCAGGAACCCTTGGCAGTGTCACGGTGTGACCCTGAGGAGTTGGGGCGGCCGCTCGGGGCCCGATGAACTGCGTGGCTCTCCTTCAGTTTTCTTCCAGCCAGGACTCCTCCTACAACATGCTGCTGCTCCTATCAACCACAGCTCATAGCTGAGGACATTTGTGTTCCTTTGGCTTAGAGATCTGATTCCTTTGAACTTGCGACGATTCGGCTTGAGGCCAAGAACTTTGATCACCTGAAGAAGGCCACCTTTGGGCAGCTCAAATGGATCAGACTGGACAGCTTGGGAATCAAACCAGCTTCACCAATCCGAGCCATAGCTCCTAACGGCTGTGTCATTCCGAAGGTGCCGAGCACAGCTGCATAGCTATATGTCAGCCGGTTCCGAGGCTAATGCCACGACATGGGTTGCCAAAGGAGGGTGACGTGCATGCAATGGCCTGAGTTGGGATCTGGCTTCTCGGTGGATCTTGGCACAGACATCAACCACACGGTGCTGCCAATGTGAGCTAGATTCAGACGGAGCAGAACAGGCACTCTTCTTGCAGATCATTGCTGGGATGAAGGAGCTTGTTTCCCTGGTCTTTGAAGCTAAGTCGGAAGCCAAGTCGCATAATAGTATTTTTTATTATACAATATTATACAAATACAGGAACAAGAAGCTACTAGTAGCAAGGTGCCTCATTAGTAGCAAGCTACTAGTCTCGAGTGATTTTCTGGGCTTTTGGAAGATGTCCATCGTTTTGAGAGGTCCACCGGCCGCTCAGCGGCTGCGCTGTGTGCCGCCTTCGAGGGCTTGAGCCAGGCGAACATGGGACTCATTGGACCAAACTCGGGGCGACAGCGAAGTCGAACGAGAACCTTTGGGAACTTGTTCTATGCACAAAAGCCACAATATGTTCATGTCTATATAGTTATGGAACATATTGACGTATTGATTTTAGACCCCAATCTACACACTAGAAGTCAGTCGAAGATATCACGTTGATTCTCTGATTTGCAACAGGGAACCAGGCTTGTGGCCTCCGTGCTTCCTGGGGAGGGGCATAGTACTGAAAGCCACCAGGATGATGCAATCGACATCGCCACGAGCATCACCTCTTTCTGCTTGCAACACAAGCACCAGGAGGAGGCTCAGCTTCTTGTGCAAAGAATGTCACTTGCTTTTTACAGTGGAAGTCTCTGAATGACAACGGACAGAATGTCATCCAAATAACAAAGCGACATGGAACCTCAATTTGAATGAGTGTGTGCCACACATCAGGTTGGACAACACAAGTGCGACATGTGCTTAACACACACACACCGATGTGTTTGAACTGATTGGGGAATCAAGAATGGAAAAGCTGGCAAGACTTTGGAGTGGCACTGACCGGAACGGACCCATTCATGTGGACAAATGGAATCTGTTGCAAATTCACCCAAAGACGAGAGACGTGCAGGCTGCAGATGAGCTGATGCGCCTCACCGTGGCCTTTCTTCTCAACTCATTTGCTGCGAGTTCGAATGAAGTGAGGCGAACTTCGCTGAACAATCAGGAAACGTTTGGGAAGTGTTTTCATGACACTTTTTCAGGTTCCTCTAGGATTCTAGGTGCAGGGTTGCCAACACGCATATGCCTGACTCAACCTAACCTGCAGATATCGAGAGCTATTGGGGTTCTTTCTTCAAGTATAGGCAGAGGTGCCTGTGTGCGCTGTCATGGGGCCTGGGTGCTGTTGCCGCTGCAGGGTGCTGCTCCAGGGTGGTGCTGCAGGGTGCCGCTGCCAGATGCGCTTTTGGAGGGGTCCAATGCAGGGAGCGCTTTGGAGCCTGGGTGGTGGTGGTGCCGCAGGGTGCTGTGCACAAATATCTCTTGCATTCTCTTGCTATTTGGGGTCTATGCGGGTGTAATTGTTCTGGCTGATCACGTTACAACCTTTCCTCGCTCTGGCCTGCCAAACACCTCAAAGAAGCCGCTCTCTTGCCGGCCAACTCAATGAGTTTGAAGTCAGCAGTTTGCAAGTGGACCCTGTTACAGAGGAGTTGGACCATCCAGCTTTGGACCCTTGCTTCTACTTGGATCGAGATTGAACTCTTGTTCTGATTCTCACTTCTCACCTTGGCCTGACCTGGCAACGCAGCAGAATGGAGACAGAAACCAGACAGAAGGAGCCACTGCGATCTTGGAAAGGGCGTCATCTCTGGTTCATTGGTCCGTGAAGTTTGTCACCCCTATATAGAGGCATCAACGAGCGCAATGACCTGCAAAGACTGTACTCGTCAAAGTCACGTCAACTTCGCCAAGAGAGGGCTGTGACACTGTACTTAGCTTCACTTCATGATCTTTCCACTCTCCTTCTGCTGTATCCTACTAGAATACTCCAAATATTCCAAGACGCGGTTTCCAATTGAGCAATTCAGGCCTAGACACAAGTTTCTGCTGTTGAACAATCGGCGTACTCTTGTTGGTAATCTGATGCAGTGTTCCATCCCTGCGAAGTGACATGCTTTTCGGAGAAAGAGAGGGCAGTGAGGCAGCGTTTGTGCTGGTTCTTACCGGTCCTGAGAGTCTTGTTGGAAGCAACAGTCATTTCAAATTGTGTGATGGATGTTGATTATTTTTGTTCTAGCCGGTTCTCGCCAAAGAGCTTGGAGGCTGTGCCGCTTCTGCGCTCTTTTCAATCATTCTTGCAACTTGGCACCATGGCCATAGCAGTAGTTGTGTCTACTTGCTTCAAAAGAGACTCTCCCGCCCATCACTTCGCAGCAAATGCGAGCAATGCAGCTTGAGCAAGACATGCTTGCTTCATTCAGGTGATCCTTCAGCAACGCCTGAGACAGAGGGCGATTATGTCAGCATGCGACTGTTGAGGCCAGATATTGCCTCGCACTTCTACCAAACCAGAAGTTGGACAGTGCAGTAGACCTGTGGCTGCGGGTGAGGAAATCACTTTTTGCTACGTGCCCCTGAAGCAGGACTTAAGAGGTTGGCGATGGCAAGCTTGCTACTAAATGATAGAATAGAGATCCAGTAGTATTGAGTGTTGCTGATACTTGTTGTGGAAGATGTCCGAAGCTGGATTGAGTTGCATTTTGGTTGACTTTAGACTTGCAGGATCCTTCTGCCTGGTGTGTGCAGAGGCGGCAGGAAAGAGGGAGTGAGATAGGGGGTCGATGATGCACGAGCTGTATTGCAGGTCTGCAAGTCTGAGGTCCAAACAACACAAGTTGGTCATAAAGTTCTTTCGCACAGGTAGTGATTCTTTCCACGGCCTGAGCCAAACCAGATCGTGGTATTGACAAACCATCAGTTTCCACTTATCAACAAGCCATCATTTGCTGGTAGCTAGATTTTTCCGATCCTGAGAGCTCTCGCTGGGCTGTGGGTGCAAAGCCAATAAATCGTTGGGCTGTTCTTTGCTTCAGTTGTTGTTTATTGTTTTTCCCTTTTTGATCGATTTGTCCAAAAGTTCTGTGTTGGTTTGGTTTGTTTGAACAATGGGAGCAGCTTGAGGAGTTTCTCTCGAAGACCTTCGGCTTCCACTGTGGTTGTTCAGGCTGCCTCAGAGAGGAGGAAAGAGTGGCACCAGGCTGGAAGCGCTGACAGCGGCTGCGGCTGGTTATGATGGGTGATAGACGAGGATTATATAAATGTGGAAGTGCAAGCGCAAGAGTGCGACTAGAAGGAAGTAGGACTAGAATTGAACAAGTTGGATGACTTAAGGCGCCAGAACAACGGCCCGAACAGGTTCGTTTTGCTGAGGCCTTTGGCAGCCGAGGGTCATGATGCGCTGGGAGCTTTTGAGGACCGCAGCTCTTCCATGCATGGCTTGATTGGACTCCTGACCAATTTTTGGAAAAGAACAGCATTGTTCCTTCCAGGGCCCCAGTGCTTGTGGTAACCAAGACGTGTTTTGAGGTTTGCTGTTTGCGCAGCCTTGAACATGTTTTCACATCACTTTCCAAGAATCAGTTCGTGACCTCAAGAAGCGCCACCAGAAGGCATGTTCCAGCTTGAATTGAAGAAGTGGAGACGAACTGGGATTAGAGTTGGCAGTTTGGTTCGCTGAAGTATTAGGTTGGAGGCCATTGCTATTAGGTTGGAGGCCATCGCTATTAGGTTGGAGGCCATCGCTATTTGGTTGGAGGCCAACGCTATTAGGTTGGAGGCCATCGCTATTAGGTTGGAGGCCATCGCTATTAGGTTGGAGGCCATCGCTATTAGGTTGGAGGCCATCGCTATTAGGTTGGAGGCCATCGCTATTTGGTTGGAGGCCATCGCTATTAGGTTGGAGGCCAGCGCTACTTGGTTGGAGGCCATCGCTATTTGGTTGGAGGCCAACGCTATTAGAAGGAACAATAAGGAAGATGAGCAGGGTCTATTGGCCATTGAGGTTTGGCCAGTGAGCTCGGACGATCTGCAGTGCGACTTGGGCAGCGGATCGGTGCGACTGCGCATCCGCGAGCATGAGGCAGGGAGGAATCCACTCAAGTCTAGTAGCTAGGATCTTACTGAATGTTGAAAGTGAACTCAAAGCAGAGAGTCTATGCGCCTATGTACAGGCTTTTTCTGCTTTGGAAGGAACTCTTGTGTTACCTCCAGGTGCAAGTGGCCCTTCCGTGCTGCTGTGTTGAAGCCGAAGCAGCCAAGTTGGCCAGGCGGCGCCTTGTGCTAATCCTCAAGGCGTGGGGGCATTGCTTGGACACATTATCGTGGCTTGCAAGCGGTTTGCTAGACGAACTATGCAAATGGTCTTCAACTCCACTGCCTTTGCTCTTGGCTCCAGGAGCCTGAGGACTGCAGAAACGCAGTTGCTTCGAGCCAAAAAAATTGTTTCACGGACGCTTCGATGTGACACCATCGGGTTTGTAAACTTGTGGTCGAGGGATGAGCAGAGATTGATTGAGATGACGACAATGCGGTACATATCACTGGCAGCCCTTCATACAAGCTAGACCATTGCACTCTGACAGTTCTCTCTCCAGCACCAGAAGTTGGCACCAATTATACCAAGGCCGCCCAAAAAGAAGCCGCGCATGGTGTCTTAGGATTTGGCGCTGCACGGCTGTCTTGCACTCAGTGAGTGGCATCAATTCAACAAAGGGCCCGCCCTAGCGCAACTTTTCCCCAGATAGCAAAAGCAAGAGGGGTTCTTACTTCTCAATCTGATTTGCGAAATCTCCTTTTGTCGCCGTTGTGCTGTGTCTCACCACTTGTTTCCTGTGAGGTGCGGAGTTGTTTGCCACTGTTGCCGCCGTGGAATTTCCTGCCGTTGTCGCTGCCGTTGTCAATGTCTCTGTACCAAACTCTTTACTTTTCTTCTGTTGTGATCGCGGCTTGCCTGCCGCTGCTGCCTATGCCAGTGTGATTGGCTTAGCTTTTGCTTTTGATTTTTGTGTGCTCCGTAGTTCTGCTTTTAGTTCCCCAAACTGTCTCCGATGCTCCGCTCCGTACTTGTCTCTTGCGTGTGCGATGGGATCTATGCCAGTGTGGCTTGCAGCTGAGGACGCTACAACATCTTCGTGAGCAAGGTCCTCTAAGCCTGTGCGTGTCGGAGGTGCATGGGCAAGCATCCTTGTACATCGCCATTCATTCCAGAAACTGCATGTAAAGGGCGTTCAAGTGGAAGAAAGGAAAGATCCAAGGACACGGTGAAAAAAGGGGAGAAAGGTAGGGAAACAACAACAGATCAACACACAATTTTGTTTTTTCTTGCAATGACATACGCGAACGCTTGCCAACTTGCATGACTGCAAGCAAAAGCGTCTCTGCCAGGCATCCAGGGTGAAGCTCGGTAAAACTGGAAGCCATAGATAGCAAACAGTTCTGCAGTTCTCCATAGTTAGATCTCGAAGGACAATTTTTAATTCTAGTCTTGTTTAAATGACTTGCTTTACTTGGCATCCCTCGGTCCCCCACCCTCTGGAGAATGGCAAAACAACCCCCTTTCACAGTGGGTCAGCAGGGACAGGGTCCGGCTCGCTTCAAGCGAAGTGGAGACGGAAGGAACGGCGGACCGAAAAGGCAGTTGTGGCAGCAGACATGTTGGTTCACACAACTTCACCATTGAAAAGACACCAAATATATATATATATAAATATATATATATATGATACATACATGCATTCCGAAGAGAAATCCTCTTGGCGTAAGAAATCTGTCTGTGGGTCAGATCTACAGTAACTTCCCGCAGCCTCGGCGATCAAGTGTGTTTTTGCGGGTGCTCAGTTGATCCAGGCAGGAGACTAAGAAAGGTCTGAGCCGATGCAGCACTAAGTGTGTTTTATGCGAGTGAAATGCTTTTAAGGGAAACAATGCCGAGTAAGTAGTGAGACATTTTGTGAGAGGTTTTAAAGGTTTCGACCAGCATCCACCATTTCAGCATCAGTTTTGGTGAATGATTCTTTTGCCTCCTGCTTGACTTGAGGTTGTGAAGGCCTTCGCCATGTCCCAGCCTGATAGCGGCCGAGCACGTGCAAAATCCATAGGTCACTACATTTTAGGCCTGGTTGGATGCAAACAAACCTTGGGATGGACTTGACAATATGACATAGCAGACGTGGTTGGTTCTTGGGGGTCAGACTTTCATTGGGAGCTGGAAGCGCACAAGGAAAGGAAAACTGAATGTCTTTGCTTTCCTGTTGCCCCCTCTCTCCGGCTAGGAAAAACAACATCTACGAATGTACATTTCATCCCATCGTCCATTGCAGGCAAGACTATTGGAGAAGGCACGTTTGGTAAAGTACCTTGGCTCTGACGTTGGAATCGTTCTTGATTCTTGCTTGTGTCATCAGTGTTTGTCAAGTAACACACGCTCAGCATGAATGATTGAGGTCAAGCTTGGCACTCACATCTTGACCAGTGAACGCGTTGCCGTCAAGGCGCAGTTTCTTCAAGATTCAAGACTTGTTCTTCCCGAGCATGTTTTAGACATGTGTTTTTACAATGCCCGTTTTTGGTTCACTCTTTCTGCAGCAGGCCTTCTTAGGAGTTCGCAAGACTTTCGCTCTACAGCATTTGCCCATTTACCAATCGAGCTTCCACAACAGCTTTGTATTCTTCTTCAACTATACACATAAGTATATAGATCTATTCCAAACTTATGACATTTATCAAATTCTGAACACAAAGACTCGCTGTTTAGAGTTCCTTGCCAGATCCTCGAGAAAGAGAGGATTGTCGAAGTCGCAGATGTGGAGCGGGTCGCCCGTGAGGCGAGCTGTGCTTGTCAATCGACGCACCGACCTTTGAGACTTTCATCCTTTCGTAACTAGGAACAAGTGCATCGCTACTAGTAACAAGTGCCTTACTAGTAGTAACAAGAAGCTATTAGTAACAATAGCTGTGCTTCTTCATCCTTCTTCGTCCTTCGTTCAGCATACGCTCTTGCGTCCTTGCGAACTTCGCTCATGAACTCATGAAGGTGCACATTTTGAAGCTCATCCGGCACCCACACATCGTGCTCAGCTCAGCTTGTGAAGCTGACTCGGATCATGCAACTCCGCAAATGTCTTGAGCTGTTTGAGAACCCAGGTTCAGTTGTATGAAATCATTGAGACGCGTCGCCAACTTTATCTTATTATGGAGTGCCCTCGGATTCTTGTGAGCTCAATCTGAGAGCAGCTGTCTAGCCTCAAGCTTGACGATATATATATATATAGAGGAACAGGGCAGAGTTGTGAAAGCTTGCTTGCGCAGGTATGCCAGTGGCGGAGAGCTATTTGACTACATTGTCGCTAAAGGGCGTGTACCAGAATTGGAGGCAGCCACCATTGTTTGTATACTAGAATACTGCTCATTTGCGACTGTTTTTTTACTTTGGCTAAAAGGTGTAAGGGTCGGTGCATTGCCAGGCATGCCGCTTCTTCCATCAGATTATTGCCGGCTTGGAGAAGGTTCATGCCATGAACATCGTGCACCGGGATCTGAAGCCCGAGAATCTCCTCCTGGACGAGCACAAAAACATTAAGATCGTGGACTTTGGCCTGAGCAACGTTTTCAGGCGAAGAAGCACTTCTCTTGAACGAAGACCACGTTCAAGCAGCACAGCAGACGGGCTGGAGATTCAGAGATGCATTTGCAATGTTTTGTACCCGAAGGTTTGCAGATGAGTTGACACATGTTGAAACAAATTATGACGTTAGCAGTGTTTGCGGACAGCAGTTGGATAATGAAGTTCCAAGGACTGCTGGAGAAAGGTCAGTCAACTCAAAAAGTGCTACACCAGAGCTTTTTGCCAGGCCTGGTCAGCTCCTCAAAACTGCTTGTGGCTCTCCATGCTATGCTGCGCCCGAAATGATTGCAGGCAAGCGGCTTGGGTTGCGTGTTTTGACAGCACGAAACTGACGAAGATAGCCAAATGGAGCCGTTGAAGGGTTTGTTTCATGTGGGCAGGTCACAGTTATGTGCTGACCTCAGCGCACGCACAAGCCATGCGAGCGGTGCAAGCCACGCAAGTGTTTCAACACACACCCAGTCAAAGCAGTCACACGTCTACGCCGCTACTAGGAACAAGTGCATCGCTACTAGTAACAAGTGCCTTACTAGTAGTAGCAAGAAGCTAGTAGAAACAAGTGCCTTACTACTAGTAACAATAAGAATTTAATTAGAATTGTAATTACTAGCAAAGGAATCCGCGGCGACGGTATCAGGTTCCACATCTTTGCGACCTTTGGAGTTGCGGGGTGATTCTTTTCGCACTGGTTTGTGGATACCTTCCTTTTGAGGCGAAAGGGTTGGCGAAACAGGGAGAATGTTGAGACTCTTGGAAGATCATGTTTCCATTCTGTAGCTTATTTGTCCAGGATTGAGGCACCTATTTGACCCCTATGTTTTGTACTCCCATACGTTTCTTCCAGGATTCACCATCCAACCAGTTAGGAAAGGCAGTTGAGGCTTCATTGTCGCCATCTATTGTTCCAAGTACCTTTGATGTTTTCAAAGGATTTGAGCTGTGCCAGGATCAAAACACCTCAGCACTGTACAAGAAGATATTGGCCGCTGACTACAAGACACCCAAGTTTATCAGTGAGGCAGTGAAGTGACAATCTGACATTTTCTTGGGAAAGAGATGGATCACTACTAAGAAATTCGCAATGTTGCACAATTACATGACTTCAGCTATAGCTGCTGACTTTGGCTGTCGTTGGCTGTTGACTCCCCAGTCCGTGCGGGACCTCATCTCAAAGCTACTGACCACCGACCCCAAGTGCCGCTACAATGTCCCGGATGTGCGTGCGCATCCATGGCCGGTTCCTGAGTCTCCAGAGCTCCCAAGCTCTTTCGCTTGAGATAGTGCTTGGTAAGAGTGCTCAATTGCTGTTGATTGCACTTGGGAGGTACCGGCAAATTCCAGAAGCTTCTACTCCCATCCCAGAGGAAAAGGTAGAGCAAGGCCTGGCAGGTATTTGGGAAGAAGGACACTTGAAGAATAGGTGAACCAACGTTGAACAAGAATCGATCTCACGGAAGCTGACCAGATTGGCCTTGTAGGCGAGAAGCAGGATATGAAGTTGGAAGAGGACCTTAGCAGAGACTTGGTGTTGGCTGTGTATGCAAAGACATGGAATTAAGTAACGTAGGCAGATGTGATAAGCTGTATGTTTTGTTTGGAATGCAAGTATAAATAAAATATGTATATAATTGCATTTACGTTATGTTTGCCCACTTTGCTCCTAGGTTGGAGGCCATGGCTAGTAGGTTGGAGGCCATGGCTAGTCTCGCTATTAGAAGGAAAAAAAAAGGAACAGGAGCAGGCTTTATGTTTACGTCCAAGACCTGAAGCCTTTCGATGGAAAGCCTTTGGGTTTTGGATACTACCGCAGAGCCTTCGAACGGTCGTAGCAACGGAGAGTTCTTGTGATCCTTTGCTATTTTTGCAATGTCTTCCGCTGCCGGGCTCAAAAAGTGTAGAGTCTAGAGTTGGAGGTCTGCAGCCTGTTCACATTTGACACAAAGTTACTAGAAAGCTTCTAGTTACTAAGAAGCCTCAAAGACATACTAAAAAGGCTCTTGTTACTACAGGTGAAACGATTCCCAAGGAAGCTTCTTGTAGTTGGAGATTGTATCAGATTGTTCGGTTTTAAAGTTTAGGAATGGATTTTGGTGGGACTGGTGCAGCAAAAACAGATTGATTCTTTCACTTGCACTTGAATCGCATGAGATCCACAAGTGGCTGGTGATGTTGCTCAATGGAGGTGCCTGTGTGAAGTCAGGTTGGAGGTGTCCAGTTTGAGCATGGCGTGTTTCTCGTCAGGCACCAGGTGAGGGTGAGGTAGAGGTCGAAGAAGTCCGTACCCAAGACATGCCACTGGACTCCATAGATCACGGTACATGAGTGAATCTGTTGGGTTTCAAAGCTTCCTACGCACCACTGTGAAGCCTTTTGTTTGTATTTTCTGTTTGAGCTCTGTCTGAGTCAAACAAGGCCTCCGAGCTGAAGAGCCACGGAAATGCCGCCTACTCCAGAAATGATGTGGAGGCCTGTCCAACCCATGACTCTCTTCTCCATATTATGAAGTCAATGTGAAGAAGTGCTGAGCTAATCCTACCACCGCTTTGCAGGAGGCCGTGCGGCTCTGGAACCTGGCCATTCGAAAGCATGTACAGGCAGGAAAGGGTTTTGGAAGGTACAAAGCCAAAGTCAAGCACAAATTTGAACAATCCAAACCAGCAAACTCTATTTAAGTCCAGCCCGAACAGAACCTGGAAAAGAATCGGTTCAAGCCTAACCTGCAGGAGCTTTCAGATGGTAAGCCTTGTGATGAGGCTGGCGACGCTCAAAGCTACCATATGTGAAATCCTGCTTTATCCTTGTAATTAGAGGTTTATTAGATTCCACTTGACTTATGACTTTAAAGGTTTGTCACACGGCATAACCGTAGACACGCTGGGATGCTGTGTGCACAAACTGCATTTGAATCTGCAGGAGGCTACAACATTGGAGCGCTCAATTTACCTCAACTTGGCTGGGGTCTTTTCTGGATCGTTTGATCTTTGTTTTTGCAAATCATCTCTCTTTTTCCGGCTCGTGTGACCACCCAGCTGCAAAGGTGCAAGGATACTTGAAGCTTGGTGACGGTGAGCGAGCCCTACGAGCGTGCAAGGTCAAGCACAGCATCTCTTCCTCATCCAACAGTGCTTGTTGTGAGACGAATTATATAGAACGGTCAAATATAGTTTGCTATTAGGTTGGAGGCCATCGCAAGTAGGTTGGAGGCCATCGCTAGTAGGTTGGAGGCCATTGCTGGTAGGTTGGAGGCCATCGCTAGTAGGTTGGAGGCCATTGCTAGTAGGTTGGACGCCATCGCTAGTTAGTTGGAGGCCATTGCTCTAGTAGGTTGGAGGCCATCGCTAGTAGGTTGGAGGTTGGAGGCCATTGCTAGTAGAAACAAAGAACGTTTGTGCCCGTTGGCTCGGAGCAGGTTGTGCTTTTCACCGACCAGGAGAATGACAAGGCACGTTTCCGGGCGGCCGAGGCGTGTCTGCAGCCGGGGTGCCCAGCCTGTGCCGGATTTGTGGTCAACTCACTGCATCCGCAGATGCGAATGCAAATGTGAGAGCACATGAGAACGTCCTGTCTTGCATCTATCTTGTGCTCCAGGTTGGGACGATCTCAGGAGGCAGAGCAGTGGCTGTCCAAGCTGGACCTGCCAGAGGTGGAAAGGGTGTAGACGAATCCAAACTAAGCAAAGCTGTTGGATGATTTGTACGCGAGATCCACATTGCCAGGCTTCCAAGATGCTTCAAAGAATTCGATGGAAGTCGCGAGCAGAGGCAAGTGGCAAGAGCTCAGTCAGCATGAAGACACTGAACCACAGGAAGCCAAACTGTGGTTGCAAGGCTGCCAAAGATAGCAAGCAAGATGCTGCCGCGCGCAAGAAGCTAGCAGAGAAGATGAGTGTTCGGATCCCATGACCGACACACGACACGGCTGATAGGACAACAATGGAAGACTTTACTGTGAGATTTGTTTGATTGTCTTAGATTGTGCTTGTTGGCATCCCCTGAGGCCGGTCTATCAGGTTTCTCTGAGGACAAGCCACCACCTGTTCCGCAGGAGACAGTGGGCATGACAGCTTGGCTCAAGGGCTCTTGTCATTCTATGAAGCAAGCCTTGACTCAAGGGTTTCTCGTCCAGGAGAGCGCGCCCAGAGCACCTATGGCAGCCGGATGCCCAGAAAGGGGCAAGGACTGAAGCGAGGCTGGCATCGCCAGACTTTCACTCAAACTACAGTACTGTGTTTCACATTGTTAGGTGCTGTTTTAATTTGCGCACTCAATTTGTTGGAGTCACCCGAAATTGACAGAACATACGTGAACACCCTTTCTAGAATCTCAACACCAGTGATCTCTCAAGCCATGGTTGAGGATCTGGACACGGTGTCCAACATGACGGACATCTCGGCAGAAGTTGCCCAGGCTTGTTGTTTGGAGATTTCGATGCGCAAACCCTTCTTCCGGTCTTTGTTGTTTCGGCGGCTGCACTTTTCCGCCGCCTTTGGGGTGGTGGGGGGAGCTTCCTGGAAGACGCGTGAGCTATCCTGCGTCCATACTAGTTACTAATAGCTTACTTGTAGCTACTAGCTACCTAGCTTCTACTAGCTACCTACCTCTAGCTACTACCTCCCTCTAGCGGCCTGCTTCCCCAGGCTTAAACATAGTCTTCATACTTTGAAGGGGTCTTGAGCGTTTTGTAGCGAGTTTCTAAGCGAGCTGCGCTCTCTCTCCCTCAAAGGCGGCAAAGAATCGCTTGGCCCGCATGGAGGCAGCTGCTGAAGGTGGGATTTGAGGCTTCTGTCATCGGTTATTAGTGTGTGAAAATATCCCAATCAATTTAGTAGGAGCATGCAGTTGTGAAAGTAACCGAGGTGAGCCAAGGCAGCAGAAACGACAAGAAGGATAAAGCACGATAACGATTGATCATATGACATCACATCAAAGCGCCAAAGTGTGTCCTTGTCCCAAAAGGATCTTCCTGCAAACCGCGCTCATAACAAACGCGATCGTTCGTTTGCGCAAAATCAGATGCGAGAAGACAAAGCAAAGGTCAGAAGCAATTCATTGGTCGCAGAGGCGACGCTTCCCACCCGCAACCCGGCAGGGCCGTCATTTCGGGGAAACGGGGCGGAAAAGGAACGGCTAAACGCCGACGCAAACCTGCAGCGCCAGTGATCTCAAGGAAAAAGCAACACTGGCTTCCTAAGCTCAAAATGTCTTATTGCTTTCTGCAGACGCTGCAAGAAGCAAAATGGACTTTCTAAGCTCCGCTGTCCTTTTGCTTTCTGCAGGCTCTGCCAACATGGGCTTTCTAAGTTCCATCTGGAAAACTGTCTCTTTGGCTTTTGCAAACGCTGCAACAAATGGCCTTCCATTGGTCAAACGGCGTAACGGCGTAATGCAACCACCAAACGGCACGGCGAAACAGCGTGTGACGACCAAACGTCGTAACGGCGTAATCACACTTAAGGACACACTTCGCAAGCACGCCGCATCACATAGATAAATTTGCAATATATTTAAAGTGACTGCATTTTATGTCTAGCACACTCAAGCTTTGCAAACACTCACATCGCTTGAGTTGACCAAGGGGAGCAGCCTCTACCTGAGCCAACCTACACAGACTTTGAGTCTTTTCGTGCCAAGGCCCAACAAGTCAGTTGCCACTTGCAAGACCTGTAGTTTCGTTATGTGTTGTTTGTCTCTTTCATTTTCCCCAAGTTTCCTTGGCAGGCGATGAAGAGGTCTCAGTTGCCCTAGCTTGTTTGAAAGAAAGTGTTATTGGAAGACAGACAGGAAGAATTGAACGAAGCTGCTGACACTCTATCATAGTCTAGCTGCTCCTGCTGAGGCATTCCCAATTTTTGTCCAATAGCTCCCGCCCACTGTATTCTTTTATTTTTGGACCGAATTTATACTTTGAGTGATTTTCATGCTTCATTCCAAGTGTGGCATGTGTTTTCCCCAAACAGTTTTGTTCTCAATCGATCCTGGGCCAAGATGTTTTCTTTCAGTATCCTTTTGTCTCCTTTGTCTCCACATGGCTCTTCTTGGGTCCTGGGGTGTGATGATTCTGCTTTGTTTTCCTTTGTGTTCTTTTGTATCCTCGTCTTGGATTCTTGCATGCTTGGGCTGAAAGGGATTTGCTTTGTTTTCCTTTGTTTTTCATGACTCTGACTCAAAACTGTCGGCGAACACTTTCAAGGTTTGCTGGCAAAAGAAACATCAAGTTCCCGCTGCTGTTCGGGGTCGATACTGTGCAATTCAGGAAGTACTCGACGGCCGCCGAGAGAAGCCGGAAACAAAGTGAGGCCGGGTGGCAAGGGCTCCACAATATTTCCAAACGATCGGTTATCGGTTCCACTGACTGAGGCATCTCAGCGCTCTGTGCGGCTTGACTGGCTGTGCATTTCTCAGGATTCTGCGACGCTTTGTCTTGGATTCTTGGTCTCAACCCTTAACGTCATGTGGTACACCATGAACATCCTCTCATATGTGACTGAGTGTAATAAGGGCGGTGTCCTCCAACCTAAGCCCGACCAAGCATGTTTCTGGACGCAACCCCCCCAAGGCGCCAGGGTCATACAGGGCACTTGGAGGACTTCACCTCCGCCTTGCGAGAAGAGTTGCAGAACATACAGGAGTGGAATGACCGGCGCCTTCATCCACCTCAGTATACCATAGTCATAGTAAATGTTGCATCAGTAGTATTGGAGCCTTGAATCAACATACAAGTTTGTGGTTTGATATGTTTTGTTGGCGTCGATCTACCCTATTGGAACCCGTGCAGGATGAGGAGGCTGCAGAGGCGGAGCCAGAAGCAGGTCAAGATGGCCAGGACCCTTGGCTTCCCCAAGTTTCTTATCGGTTGCGGAGAACTGCTTGAGGCAATGCAGAAATGGATGAGATGGACTGAGAAGAAGCGTGCAAAGCATCACGCTGACATCGATCTCAACAGCCGCTAGTAGTGTCCTTGCTCCTAGTAGTAATGCCAGGAGCCCCATAGTAGCTTCTTGTTCCTAGTAGCGATAGAAGGAGCCCCTAGTAGCGTCCTTGCTCCCAGGTTTCTGAATGACACTTCTGGAAGATGAACAGGTCTTCTAGATAATGTGCCAGTCGTGATCAGAGAGGCTCAAAGCAGCACTCTTGGTTGGATGTAGAAAGCAAAAGGGGGGGTTAGGGCAAGTTGTGAAGAAGTCGGTCCCAATATCATGTGCTTCGGTCAAAAGCTTGTTCTTGACCCTTGACTAGTACATGGCACGGCATCGTAGTGTTCTGGAAAAGGATAGAATGTCTTGTTGGTTTATTTGTCCAGTTTTTTGTTGTTGTCTTCCCAGGACGTTTTGGCAGATCTGGATGCCTTTGGCTTCCCTCGTGATTATGCTGTGCCCTTTCCCAGTGAGAGGTCTTTCTTCGTCCCGATTTCTGTGGAGATCTCTTCACAAAGTTATGAGTCCATGACAGATCACTCGTTTCTTAGCAGCCCAGGTGCGGTGCTTGCAGCTCAACAAGCACAACCATGTGACCACCACGTGACCCATTTCGGCCGACGCCGAACCCAAGAGAACAGGGAATCTTGCAGCGACGCTCTGTAAGCTCACGAGATTGTTAAAACATGTTTAAACTGAGGAAGATCAGCAAGTTGAACCAGGTACTACCTTCTTTCTGAAAAGAAGCGCCGCCTCATGGAACGACTAAAGAAGCTCTCTACGGTGCCTGCCCAATTTCACTGATAAGACGCGAGAGGGCGTGGTAAGTCATACTGGCCCGCTGTCCCAAATTCTCAGGGAGAACTTGGCATCATTGAAGCTTGCCGCAGCCCAAGTGATGGAGTGCATACTGGAACGTTGGAATTTGGAAGTTTGGGATAGATTTTGGCACTTCAATTTATTTTTCTTTGTTTGCAGAGAAACCTTTGGCCAGGGAAAGGGAACCATGTCTACTTCTGCTCAGGTGACCTTGCACCTGGTGGAGACGCTGCAGCCGGCACTGTGCCCCTACCCAGAGTGAATTGACAATTGCGGTACTCATAGGATCCCACATTGCACATGCTTTCTGAGCTTTTCGTGATCGTGAGCAAGAATCGCGCATCATGCTTCTTTGCTGCCTCGATGTCGGTGCGGGCGAGGCCTCTTCCAGCGCTGTGGCAAAGCTTGCGCCCCAGTCTTGGCCAGTAACAAGGAATCTCCAGATCTTTGGAGTCTTTGCAGGCCCTCTTCAGCTCCTGTGGTTCAACAATCCAACAGCATCGAGCTCAGCCAGAAAGCCACATCGGTTCTATCTTAGAGTTCTAGTTTTTCTGAGGTGCTGGGGCCACTGCCCGACCACCAGCAGCAGCCGCCGTGCGCAGGTCCGTTTTGACCTCACTTGAAGTTCATTCTCGCCGCTTCGTGACAGAGTGACAGAGACCGTCCGCACTGCACTCATTTGAGATAATGTTGTTGGAACTGCTAAAGACCAAACGCATCCAGGAGCTGACAAGCACAACCATTATGCAAGAAATGCTAGGACATTTTTCACACTTCTCACATCATCAACAGATCAAACATGTTCTCCAAAGAGGTTGAAAAAGACATTGAATATCCCTAGCCCATCCCACCTATATACAGTAATTGTTTAAAGCATATTTCTTCATTCCTATAGACAGCAAATTAGCCTAGGCAAGATATATCGAAGCTAGCACTGAGCCGTTCTGCGGCCAGCTTTTCATGATAGCAGCTTGAGACAAACTATGTGAGTCGATGTCAGGTGTGGCTCTCCACCAGTGCAAGCAAAAACGACACCAAGGTCTGATGTGTTTTAGCATGCTTCACCCTTCACCCCTCCACGAAAGAGACGCTTCGCGAACACCAGGACACGACCAAGCACTGGAACCAGCTCGACAAATCCACGTGTCGTGTGCTCAATCTCAACTTCGAAGATATTTATCCAAGCCAAAATCAAGAAATGAAGAGAAGAACAAAAAGTAGGTGTTTGGGAACCTTCAGTAAGGACCCTTCAAAAGCGGCCCAAGTCCTCTCTTTTTCTTCATTTCTTTTATTGCTTGGATGGAATCGTAGCAGATGAGCCCACGAGGTCAGCCCAGGCAGTGCTGCTACTTCGCCGGGGCTCCCGGGCAGTGCAGTGCATTGCTGCCATGATCAGCTTGTTTTGTTGGGGATCGACGGGATCTACCTCATTGTTCAGGGCATCAAATTTTGCCCATGAAGTCAGCAAGTCTATCAGTTTATGCTTGGTAGTGCGACATTGAACTCAAGTTTATATTCATCCAGCAGCAACGGTGGATTTGTTGAATGGCTGTCGCCCATAGCTTTATCAAATACAGTACTGTAGTCAAAGCCGGCAAAGCCCATCAACAGCACTGCGCATGTGCGGGAGGCTGTGTGGCAAATAGAAGCTCCTATGTATACCCATACATATATATATATATATACTTATCTTACGAGATCCAGCCGATAGGCCAGGCTGGAGTGGTAGGGTGTGTGGGGGGGGGTGGTTGCAAACTTGGTCCCTGCAAGTAGGGTGAACCCAGAGCCTGGTGGAAGAGAGCAAAAAAGCACGAGCGTGCAAAAGGTAGTGAACATGTATGTTGTAGGGGTCTTAGTGATGCGAGTGATGCAAATGACGCTGAATGGTGCATCACGAAGTGCTCACAAGACCATTTAAACTGTCTATTGACCAGGGGTGAGGGTTTGTGTAGAGGACTCACGAAGTGCTCACGAGACTACTTAGACGTCTATTGACTAGAGGTGAGAGTTTGGGAGAAGACAGGAAAGGGAGATTGCGCGACAGGAGCTGCAAGAAAAGAGGTCATCCAGCTGACCAGGCTAACCAGGTGTGTCCATCCAGTTAGGGGACAGAAGCGGCGAGACTCTGTGCCAACTAGAATATATTTCTCATAGAGGTAGCGTTCGGACAACTCAGGAGGATATTTGCGGGCTTAACCTTTACAACTGCGTCAGGACATCGAATGCAGTCAGGAAACAAAAGTTGCTTGCGGTGCCCTTGTTTATTGTGAAAAGGGTGTTAGCCGGATGAACAAGGGCATCCCTCCGAGATAGATGTCCAAGGGAGTCGGACTTTTGTACGAATGAAAGTCTATCCTGTGACTGGTAATGGAGGATGGGATCGGAGTTGATCCAGGCGTTGTGTATATAAGCTACTATCGTATCGAGCCTCAATGCGAAACTCTGCGCCTCTCAGCCTTCGGTTTTCCCGTTGCTAATAAAGAGTAGAGGCAATTGCAAATTCAACTCGCTCTATGACAGCAAGACCTTATTTGTATAAAAGTATGGGAACTATACTGCCAACGCATCAGACTGCACTTGTCTAGGATCGCACGAAAACGTCATGAGCTCTGCATATGTCCGATGATGTCGTCTCTGTGATGTCGTGTCTGTTGCGCTTTTGTTACCGTCGTTCTGTCTTTCGCCGCCTGCTTCACCGTACTGGGGCCGTCTCCTGCTCTGCCACAGCCGGCGCCAAAACATAAAACATGTTTTGACGGGAATCCGAGGTCCTGCGCAAAGCTCTATAGAAAAATCATAAAATCAATGCGCCCGAATGAACACACATTATCATCAATTTAAAAATGTACTCAACTATGTGTTTTTGGCATTGGTTATGTAGAACTTGATCGGGAAACCACACTTATGCTTTGTGCACTGCTTGCCAAACGACCGACAGTTTCACACGCCAACTCCATCGCGCAAAGCTTCTTGAAATGCAAGACTGCGTAATGCCAGAATAGTTGATGCTTTGGTATCTTTGCTCGATGTTATAAAATCGGTCCACTCTTATGAGCAGGTGCCCTTTTTTGGCGTTGAACCGAGAGAAGAAGGGCAACTGTGAATGTCCTGCTCGGCTCAACCTTTGTCCTAACGCATGGCAGTGAACGCCTTGATCAAAGCCTTGTATGCAAGCAGTTCCCGGGCAAGCCGGCGGCGGAAGTTTCCTATAAGAAGAAATTGACCTATAGGAGTGTCCCGGTTCTTTCCACCATGCGTGTCCCTCGTGTCCCTCAGTCAGACGCATGAGTGATGAGTGATGAGTGAAGCAAAGCTCTAGCTCTAGCTCCACACTAACTGGAGCTAGACGCTAACTATGATGTGATAGCTTGTCTAGACACGAAGCCAGTTAGCTCAAATTTGTCAACCTCTCAAAACACGTGTTTTGAGGTCTCCAGAAAGTAGTCGAAATGACCACTTTTGAGTAAGCAAAATAGCTAAAATTTATCAACCTCTCAAGAGAGCCGGGTGGTCGGGAGACATGACTCAGCTGCACAAGCGCCAGAGCAGCCGCGAGAGATGACTCAGCCGCATACTAAAGGTGTACTACCAAGTCGCCAGTTCTCAGCTTCCAGCTCCACAGATTACTCCGCGTACTAAAGTTGTACTACAAAGTCGCCAGTTCTCATCTTCCAGCTCCCCAGATACTCCGCGTACCAAAGTGGTACTACAAAGTCGCCAGTTCTCATCTTCCAGCTTGCCACATACTCCGCGTACTACAGTTGTACCACAAAGTCGCCAGTTCTCAGCTTCCAGCTCCACAGATTCCTCCACGTACTGAAGTTGTACTACAAAGTCGCCAGTTCTCATCTTCCAGCTCCCCAGATGCTCCGCGTACTAAAGTTGTACTACAAAGTCGCCAGTTCTCATCTTCCAGCTCCCCAGATACTCCGCGTCGCCAGTTCTCATCTTCCAGCTCCCCAGATACTCCGCGTACAAAAGTTGTACTACCAAGTCGCCAGTTCTCAGCTACCAGCTCCCCAAGTACTCCGCGCACTAAAGTTGTACTACAAAGTCGAGCTCCACAGATTGCTCCGCGCACGAAAGTTGTACTACTAAGTCGCCATTTCTCAGCTTCCAGCTCTCAGGGTCTCAGCCTCCGCCTCGCCAGATTACTCCGCGTACTAAAAAAAGTCGCCAGTTCTCAGCCTCCAGCTCCCCAGCCTACTCCGCGTACTAAAGTTGCGCTACAAAGTCACCAGTTCTCAGCCTGCGCGTGGAGGTTCGCAAAGTGCTGTGCCTGCCACGAAATCTGCACCTCGAGGTTCACAAAGTGCTGCGCACGCCACGAATTCTGCGCGTGGAGGTTCACCAAGCGCTGCGCCTGCCACGACATCTGCGCGTGGAGGTTCACAAAGTGCTGCGCCTGCCACGAAATCTGCGCATGGAGGTTCAGAAAGTGCTGTGCCTGCCACGAAATCTGCGCATGGAGGTTCACAAAGTGCTGCGCCTGCCTCGAAATCTGCACCTCGAGGTTCAGAAAGTGCTGCACCTGCCACGAATTCTGCGCATGGAGGTTCACACAGCGCTGTGCCTGCCACGAATTCTGCGCATGGAGGTTCACAAAGTGCTGTGCCTGCCACGAATTCTGCGCATGGAGGTTCACAAAGTGCTGCGCCTGCCACGAAATCTGCGCATGGAGGTTCACAAAGTGCTGTGCCTGCCACGACATCTGCACTTCAAGAAACAAGTGAAAACTCTAATCACAATGGAACGATTCCGCCCATGATCCGAGAATGATCCGAGACCGTCTCGCGCACGTCGTTCCGCAAAACTAGACTTGCAAGCTTCGGAGCCACCCTTTCTAAGTCTATTGAAAAACACAGCATTTCGTGCGTCCGCCATCTCTTGAAAACGCATTTTGTATTTTGTATTGCGCCTGCCACGAAATCTGCACCTCGAGGTTCACAAAGTGCTGTGCCTGCCACGAACTCTGCACATGGAGGTTCACAAAGTGCCGTGCTTGCCACGAAATCTGCGCATGGAGGTTCACAAAGTGCTGCGCCTGCCACGTAAACTGGAGCTAGAGCTATTGAAACTAGAGCTAACTGGAGCTAGATCTCTTGAAACTAGAGCTACCTGGAGCTAGAGCTATTGAAACTGGAGCTACCTGGAGCTAGAGCTCTTGCAACTAGAGCTAACTGGAGCTAGAGCTCTTGAAGCTAGAGCTAACTGGATGATGAGTGGTGTATGATGAGTGGTGTATGATGAGTGGTGTATTGATGCGTGGTGTATGATGAGTGGTGTATGATGAGTGGTGTATGAACAGTTCTTGAATGTCCGTAACAGGGAAGTTTCGTACACTAAACTTCCTTTGATAAAGAGCTTATCATATCGATCCTCAAAGCGAGACTTTGCGCCTCTCTGCCTTCTATTTCCCCGTGCCTAACGGCAGTAGAGGTCAGTGCAATGTCATGTCGCTTTCACCCCATAACAACAGTAATCTGTGTTCGATGATATACAATCACGTGATCTTGCCAATAAATTTCCATCGGTCCACTTTTAGGATCTCTCACGAGCACACCGAGTTTATGAGTCCAGGTACAAAAAAGGAGAAACAAACAGCAGGCAAGCACTCCTCAGTTACTTAGGGCGATGGCCTTTTTCACCTTGAAAACGCCCCCGTCCCAAAAAAGAAGGGCACCCCCTTGACCTGTGAATGTCCTGCTCACCTCAATCTTTGTCCTCCCGGAGGTATATACACAAAGTATCACAATATATGTACTGTATATTACGAAGAGTGGAATCCGTCCGATTGATGCAAGGCCACGCGTCACGGGAGGCTATCCTCAGTCTGCCAGGCCCATATCTTTAGAATTGTATTTCAGGGATCATGGCAACTCATCAGCTTCTTTAAAGCAAAGCACTTGCCCTTGTTTGATTGGAAATTCAGATCCATGCAGATTCTTGGTTTCTACCTTCAAGATTGCAGGGCTCGTGTCTCCTCCACCCGTCCATATTCAGCGGTCCAAAAGGCCCAGGCAGGCCTTGTTGGTCGCGTCGTGCCTTTGATGCTTTGATTTGGAAGTTGGAAAACTTGTTTGACCATAATAATAAGAGCGATGGCCTTCACCTAAGGGCGACGGCCTCCAGCCTACTAGCGATGGCCTCCACCCTATAGCTCAGAACACGTGTAATTAGAAGTTTTAGCTAAGTTTTTCAAGAAAAGATGCGTAAGTCTGTCAAACCCAGGAGGCCGCTCCGGCCTCTGCTCGGCGGACATCACCGAGCACCTCCAGCACCGTGGTCCCGCCAGAACCTTCTGTAGGTCAGACCTTTGAAGCACCAGCTGGGTGTGCACGTCACACCTTCTTCAGGTTTCTTCTACTTTCTTCAGGTTTTTGCACATTAGTTTGGACATGCTGCTCACAATTGGCGAAACAACGACTTTCATTAGCTCAGGCCGCGTTCGCACGCAGCGGTGGCTGCTGCTGTGGCGAATAAGGCCAGTTGTTGTGCTTCTTCCGATGTGCGCATGTATAGACAAAGTCGGATGGTGTTGCTTGAAGGGCTTGCGCTACAGTAGCAAGATGAGGTGGCTAGTATCCAGGGAATATGCCATATGCCTAGTTATTAGAGATACCTGTCGACATACTGGGTTTTCCTTCTCCTTTTGGCTTACTAATGCATAGAGCATTCTTTGGTGTCAGAACCTTGCAGCATGCAGAAACTAAAAATCCAGTGAAACTTCTAGCTTAACTGTTTAAAAGAGTTTGTTTGGCTGAGATGTAAACAATGGTATCATTAGGGTCATTGTCTCGTTCAACCAAGCTCTCAAACAACAGATACAAAAGACCATTCTCACAACCGATCAGGTGGCAGCTGCATTGTCGCAATCAGAGCCACAAGCTCAGATGCTTTTGCTCTTGATTCACCAGTTTATTTTTGTTTGCTTGCACTACCGCGCAACATCTTGGCCTAGCCATTGCAGCACTTTCAATCATGACTCCACTTGACAAGGCGCAGTGCTCGTCCGGGCAAGGCTCGACGACTCAACATCAAAGTAAGAAGTACGCAGGTTTGAAGAAAGAGCAAATAAAAGATAAAGTAGGAACAGGAAGCTACTAGGGGCTCCTGGCCTTACTACTAGGAACAAGAAGCTACTAGGACCTTTTGTATTGCTCTTTTTTGTTCAACATTGTGGACTCCATTCACTCAGCCAGTCTTTGCCAGGCCCCAGGCGTTCCAGGCCAGGTCTCTCCGAGCACGTCAGCACGCACAAATGTGTAAAAGACTCAGACTTGTGAGAAGGTCCGATAGATTTTATGCACAAAGCTCCATGTTAGGACATTCGCTGCAAACTAAGGACTCGTCCAGGTGCAACAATGTCCAACCAGTCTGGATCTTTGGTCCAGCGCATAATGTCCAAGGATGCCCTTTTTTGAAAGATCTGCAAAGATTTTGAGACCTGCCATCTTGAACCTTCCTGCAGGATCCATCGCCACCCATCACAAGACGCTCAACTTCGTCCACACAAACAGCTGCTGCTCCTCCTGCGTCGCCTGCGGTTTCATCTGCCGCGGCTGCAGTTTCCCCTGCCAGCCCTGCTACAGTGCAAGGATCCCAGTGAACGCCAGTATACACTCAGGATTTGATCATGTGACATGTGTGCAGAAATGGAGTATGTTCAGGGATTCAGGGAGAGTCAAGCTGCTTGCTTTGCTAGCACGATGTGCTCAAGAGCCACAGGCCACATGATCATCGAAGCACGCAGAATATGCTCCACGTATTTGCTTGAATTGAATAGGACGCACCGGCGCACCGTAGGAGCAAGGACGCTACTAGGGGCTCCTAGCCTTACTACTAGGAGCAAGGACGCTATGCTGTAATGAAGTGGCCATGTCACCGACGGACCGTGCCTCCGTGCGCCAAATTCTTGCTACAGAAGGCGTCCTGGGACTAGGTGCGGTTGGAAGTCATGCGTAGAAGAAAGGACCAGGTAAGAAGAATTGCAGCGCAGTGTAATAGTGCAATGCATTGGAAGAGGTTTTTGTCCAAGAAGCCTTATTGGATCTTATTGGCATTTAGAACATGCTGTACCTTTGCAATCTCGTCTTGCAAGGGGCCTTGAACGAAGCAAAGAGCCACACTCCCTGGCAGGTCTTGCCTTGCGCGACGAAGCACTACGCCCGCAGCTGGCCCTGCAAGCGTTGGGTGAATGCCCTTCGGTTCGCTGTGCCACGCAGCGCCTAGCACGGCCTGAGGTTGGAACGCCCTTTTCTGCGATTACTTTTTTACTTTGTCATATTTGACAATCATCTGATCTGATAGAGTTGCACGGCATGACAACCTATACAATGTTTTTTCTTCCATGTCAGATCAACCCTCATCTACTGGCCGTGACGAGCCCTGGCGCTGAGCTCTTCAGGTGCGCCAGGCCTTTTTGGACTTCGCAGTGTGCATGGTAGAAACGATGCCAGCACCGCTAAAGGCTGGGCATTCTTCATCAAAGACAAGAGCTAATTTATAGCACTAGCCAAGGTTGCAATTCCTGTGTCAGTTGCAAGATTTGACCAAAGCCGCATAGGACTTGAAGTTTGTAGAAGTGCAGGTGTTGGCATTAGGATCCGGCCATTTGCTCTTTGAGCTGGAGTTGCTGGAGGCTTTGAGGCACCGCATCTCAGCCCAAAAAGACTTTGGGACGTAGAGCCTTTCACATTTCAAGATGTTTCAAGGGAGTTTTGCCGCCAAGCCCAGAGAATAGTCGGGGTGTACAGAGAATCGTCTACAGTATTCCTTTGGTTAAACTTGATGTGAGGCCTTTGCCTCAGCTTCTCGGTCATACACCTGGTGGATCCGCTGTATGTCGAAGAATGCGAGCAGCTCAAAGGACGCCAGCATAGAAGACATGCTTTGGAAGCAGTGGAGGCCATGCTTTGCAGTTTGGACTATGGTTCGATGAGAATGGTTCGAGCTATCTTGTCGATGTTAATCATCACTTTCTTGGCAGAGCAAATGCCATAATCCCCTGGAGGTTCTTGGAGTGGGCTCAGCCCGTCTCAAGCGTTTTTGAGCAACGATTGTTTTGACCAGGCATTCAAGTCCTGGTTTGATGACACCTTGGTGGCAACATACAGATCTGTGGACCAGTTCAATCAAGCCCAGGCCTTTTGCTGTTGCAAATCGCTTTGAAGTAATCTGATAAGGTTGTTTGTTGTTATTTCTAAAGTGACTCGGGACAGGATGACTCAATGCTGGACCTTGTGCTCCAGTTGGACGCTGAAGCTCTGGACTACGACAAGGATTTGGTCCGTGGACGATGGAATCTCTTGGTTGCTTGATTCTGCTGGAATGTTTTGCAACAAGAAGGATGTCTTCAAACCCAAATTGCAATAAACATGGAGCATATCAAAGACCCTTGTGATTAGCAGCATGTGGGAAAATTACGGACCCCACAAGTGACACCCGTGCAATTTACACCACGTATCGTATCACTTCCTGTCAAACCGCTACTTGCGGTGAATCGCAGGAGGTCAAACCGCTACTTGCGTGCCACTTGGCGCCTGAGGGTCGCTTCCTACGGCTTAGTGGCTGTTGTGGACACGAGGATGGTCACTTCAATGCAGGCCCTGCCTTTGCTTTCTTTGCTTCATTTTTTTGATGGAAAAACAGTAAGGCAGGATGAGGCAGGTAATGAAAACATACAGAAGCAGGCCCGCACTGTTCTTTTTTCTTTGTACCTGCTTTACCTGAAAATCAAGCTAACTCGCACTAAGTTTCACCGAGTGTTTTGAGTGACCGTGGAGGTCGAAGTCTTTTCAAGCGCCTCCTGGACGCCTCCGTGGAAGGTTTGTGCGAGGGTGGCTGTGGTTGCACCAGTTGGCAGAGGGCCTTCCAAGCCCCTGAGCTGCCGGCGACACGACGAAGGTACCTGGAAAGGCCGGCTCACATGAATCATGATTATCATGGTATACTATTGGTATAGCACCCAATAGTGTCCAAAGAGGGAAGCTCTGGATGAGGACGATGCGTGCAACTGCCAGAGCATCAGTTGAAGGTTGAAGATGGTTGAAGGTCGAGTCTAGTGCATGTGAGAGGACATCGGAGAACCTATAAATATATCTATACATACGGTTAAGATATGTTAAGATCAAGTTTTGATCTACAAATCAAGAAATCCTTGCGATCAGAGAGAGTGGGTCGTAGTTGTTTCATGTCGTTTTACAGTTCTTGTCATGTACTCTCGCAAGCTCTGTTGATGGCTTGCCAGCGCGAGGTTCGTTCACCTTCCTCAGGAAAGCCGCGTATCTGGGCAGCTGTGCCTGTTTCGGGTGACTGCAGAGAAGGTCCCGAAAGGACGGGTCACTTTGAACAAACGGTTTGTTTGCACTCAATTTTTGCTTTTGGCCGACAAACTTTAGATGCATTTGGCCAAGTTGCGACCTAGATTGGGGGAAGACCCTGAACTGGTGAAAAGGAATGTATGTCAGGATGTCAGTTGTTTGCATTTCTTTATCTTCATATTTGAGAAGGGGCATAAGGAAAATCTCCAAAGCTCCTGCTGGGCTTGCTAGGCTCTAGCCTTACGGCCTGACGGGACTGCATGTCATGGCTTGGGCACGGTAGCGATGAACATACGGAAATCAAATGAATAGTACGTGAGCTATTCCGCTTCCAGTAGATAGTAGAGGCTAGTTGTCCTCTCACCCTGAAGTCGCTGCCGTTAGAAGAAGAACAGACGTTTCAGAAACCTGGAGCTTCTCTCTCCGAGAGGTGTGGTGGTCATCCGGAATGCTCCACGACTTGATGGGCAGCTGGTGGGTCTCAAACGTCAGGGTGAACTCGTGATAGTGGACCACCAGGACCGCCATCACTGCAAATGACATGACGGTCAAGGAGCTGAACAGAAGCAATCTTATTCTTCAATCTACTTTCACCGGTAGAGCTTGTGGGTGGGGGTTCGATGGATCCTTTTCGTGCACAAGGGCCATGATGGGACTAGTGACTAATTGCTGCCAGACTTTGCCAAAGCTTGCAGCCAGGAATGGCCTTGGGTTCGTTTGTCTGCTGAGGACTGAGTATAGCATAGCTTGTGGAAAGCAGTGAAGAAACAGTTCTCATGTAAAGGACGACTGGCTTGCAGAAATGAGAGAGCTTTACAGGCGTGTCGAACGGGTCTTCGAAGTACCGGCTTCGGACTCTGATCAAATCTCAGAACCGCTTCCCATCCGTGAGGCTCGAAGGGAGGAGCGACGTTTTAAATGCTTGGCTCCTTGGCTTGAGAGAGAGTACAGCTCCATGCTTGGAACCGCCAGGAGCCCCTAGTAGCATCCTTGCTCCCAGTAGCGATGCCAGGAGCCCCTAGTATCTTGCTCCTAGTCCCCAAGAGAAAGCTTGGAGTCTTTTGTGGTAAAAGGGAGAATAAGGAAAAGGAGCAGTCTCTATGCAGTTTCGAGAGTGAATTCCCACGATGGTTCCGGACGAGGTTGTTCTCCTGCAACGGGGCGAATTGGGAAACCTTTCATGCAATCATGCAACCCATGCAACATGTTTCACACTCAGATCGTACACACAAATGTTCCTTCACCCGGCTCACAACTTTATCATATCACACACACAGTATGCAGAGAAAGATTCGAGTATGCCCAAGCAAGACGATTGATGCCGAACACGATTTCTTTGGTGTTGAACGCATATGGGTACAACTCATTTTCAAAGAAGTGGGCGGTTCCAGGAAACGTCGTGAGGGGCAAGGCTGCGGGGGCTATACGACAAAAGTTGTATTTGGATTGCATTCGATCTTTTGAACTTCTGGTATTCTCAATCAGGATGCTTCGGGATGGAGCCGAACTTGGCTTTGGCATTCTACTCCGCCCCGTCGATCCCAAAGAAGATGGGCAGGAAGCATCGCTCGACTCAGATCAAAAAGAGATGAAACCAGGGTTGAGCGCCTGACGCAGTCTCAGTAGAACTCCTTCAAGATTTGACCAAAAAGACTCAAAGAGCTTAATAGATGTTGTGATGAGCAATAATTAATAGTTGAGCATCTGCGTTTCATGTGTTTCTGAATGTTCCTGATTCTTTTGCATCATTTTGAATTTGAGTCCCTAATTCTTTCGCTTCGAGGCCCCGCGCGGGCACCGTGCGTACCAGTCCCATTTCAGCCTCATCGCCTCGTGACTTGACGAGGCGAGCCTCGCGGCCGTACCCGCCGATTCGGGTCTCGGTAAACCGATGGGCACCGCGAAGCAATGGAAAAACATACAACCCCATTTGCTGAAATACCTGATTTCCGGACTGGTATTCACTGTTATTCAGTATTGTTGAGCTGGACATGTTGAAGGATCACTGCTTCCCCGGAGCCTGCGTGAGGTCCACAGAGAGTGCTCGCCGCCGCGTGGTCTGAAGCTCTGACAGAGACGCAAACCGAGCATTCAGTAGATCTCAATCGACGCGGCGCGTGGTAGGGCCTGGTAGGGGGTTTAGATTGCTTTAGATTAGTAACGGTAACGGTTTGGTTTTTCATGGTAGATCTCAAAGGAGCATGGGAGGACGTTGATTCTGAGGCAGCGACGACGGCTCCAACCACAGCCCCACACAGCACTCGAACCAGGATGGGTTTGCGCCCACCGGCCGGCAACCCAGATGATCCAGTCTTGGTTGCACTCGTATTATTTCCCCTCCAACACGGTGACGTGCTTGGAGATCCGAACTGAACCTAATAGCAATAGCCTCCACCCTACTAGCGATGGCCTCCAACCTACTAGCGATGGCCTCCAACCTACTGGCGATGGCCTCCTGCCTATTAGCATGATTTCCCCTCCAACGCGGTGTCATGCTTGGGGATCCGAACTGAACTTGCTTGCATTGCAGCCACACCAAGGTCCAGTCCTATCGTCGCTAGGTTGGAAGATGAGTAGAGGGCATAGCGCCAAGCGCTGTGTCGTGAGAATGCAAATCGGCAAAAAGCCAGAGCTCGGCATGTTCCCAGCCTTCCAGGCAACCAATCCGGATTTTCTGTAGGATACTATTTGTAGGACACTATTTGTAGGATACTATTTGTAGGATACTATCTGCAGGATACTATCTGTAGGATACTATCTGTAGGGTACTACCAGTAGAATACTATTTGTAGGATACTATCTGCAGGATACTGTCTGTAGGATACTATTTGTAGGATACTATTTGTAGCATACTATTTGTAGGATACTATTTGTAGGATACTATCTGTAGGATACTACCTGCAGGATACTATCTGTAGGATGCTATCTGTAGGATACTACCAGTAGAATACTATTTGTAGGATACTATTTGTAGGATACTACCAGTAGGATACTATTTGTAGGATACTATTTGTAGGACACTATTTGTAGGACACTATTTGTAGGACACTATTTGTAGGATACTACTTGTAGGATACTATCTGTAGGACCGGATACTATCTGTAGGACACTATTTGTAGGACACTATTTGTAGGATACTATCTGTAGGAGACTACCTGTAGGATCCTGCAGATAGTATCCTACTACTATCTGTAGGATACTACCAGTAGATTACTATTTGTAGGATACTACCAGTAGGACACTATTTGTAGGACACTATTTGTAGGATACTATTTGTAGGATACTATCT